ATGCTTCCCCCACCTTACAAGACTGCACACAGAGGAAATGGCTATCCCTAACCCCTACTAGCCACCTCACTGGTCAGAAAGAGGCTTAGAGAAGAGAGCATGGCTGGTTCTGTGCAAGCCTTTCCTAGCTGTGTCAACAACTGGTAGTGGGGTGAGAAACATTCAATTTGGTACCACCCCAACTACTGAGCCCTTTTGGGTGCCAGGCAGCAAGGGAGAAGCTGGAGATGCTGTGGCCATCCAGGCAAGGCTCCCAACCTCTGGGAGAAGCAAACAATGAACAACTACATTTTGTATTTGAAACATGGTACCTATAATTTTACTGTCAAGGCAACATTTTAAAGGACATCCAGGGATCTTTCAGGGAGCTTACAAAACAGAGGAGACAAGACACTGATACAAGTAAGGAAATACACAAGCACACACACACATACAAGATTGCCCCCACTCCCAGTGCCTATTTCAGTCCCTTCTTGTCTCTGGCTAAGGCTATTTCAGCAGCCTTCTAACTGGTCTCCTGCCTTGGGTCTCCCTCCTACTCTGATCAGTGCCCTTCACAGCTGCCAGAGACTTCTAAAATGCATGTCTCACTGGGGTCTCCTCTGCTTAAAAACTTTCAGAAATTGCCTACCACTTCCAGTTCAGTCTCCATAGGAGGGTGTTGAACACTCTGTATGAACTGGTTCCCAAAACCATGCCTCTTATGCACCCTCCTAGGCACCCACAGATAATGCTCCTCCACACCTCTGTACTATTGTACATTCTGTTTTCTTTGCATGTAAAACACATACATTGTCCTTGTTTACTGGCAAACATTCATCCTGTGAAATTCCACTCTTGTTTCATGCCTTTTATGAAACCTTTCCTAAACTTTCCAAATGAAACACTCTACCTCCTCCTCTGTAGCACTTCTGAACCTTGCTTATCTTCCTATTTTCCCATGTAATACTCTACATTTTCATAACTGTGTGCTTACTGGCCTGTCTTCCCTACAGGATTCTAAGCTCCTTTAGGGGAAAGATGGTGTTTTGTCCATGGGGTGTAACTCAGTGCCTGGTACCTGGGTGATTAATGCCTGGGTAATCACTCTGTGTGTCTTCAGTTAAAGTGGTTGAACAGAGGTTGAACAGAGTTAAAGAGGTTGAACAGATAAAAGAAAACAATCACTGAGACCATGTAAAGATATAGTCACTAACATTACAATGTTATAGCCATGACTAGAGTGACTGGAAATAAAAATAACAATAGCCAGCTATTGAGCAATTACTCTATGTCAGGAACTGTGCAAAGTGCTTTACAACACTCATCTCCTTTATTCCTTACAACCTTGTGAGGTGGCTATTAATGTCCCCACATCACAGGTGAGAAAAGTGAGACACGAACAAATTTAAAACTTGTCCAAGGCCGGGCATGGCTCCTGCCTGTAATCCCAGTGCTTTGGGAGGCTGAGGTGGGAGGATTTGGCTTGAGGCCAGGAGTTCGAGACTAGTCTGGGCAATGTAGCAAGATCTTATCTCTACAAATAATTTAAAAATTAGCCAGGCATGGTGGTGTATACCTGTAGTCCTAGCTACTTGGGAGGCTGACGTGGGAGGATCGCTTGGCCCACGAGATCAAGGTTGCAGTGAGTTATGATTGTGCCACTGTACTCCAGACTGGGTGACAAGAGTGAGACCCTATCTCTTAAAAAACAAAAAACAAAAACAAAAACTTGTCCAAGAGTAATGCAGGTAGGAAGCAGCAGAGCTGAGATTAAAATTCAGATCTGACATCAAAGCCTTGTACTGGACACTAGTAGAGCTGATGATACAATAAACATGATTTATTTATGTTTCTATTATCTGTTTGGGAAGGGAAATGAACAGAATTATCTAGCAAACTGTACAAGGAAAATAACAAATCCAGCAGTTAAGTGCAAAATAACGTATCATTATGCCCTACTACCTTACAAAGAATGAATCAGAAAAGATTTTCTGAAAAAATACAATTTTACCATCCTGGCTAACACGGTGAAACCCTGTCTCTACTAAAAATACAAAAAATTAGAAGGGCATGGTGGCAGGCGCCTGCAGTCCCAGCTACTGGGTAGACTGAGGCAGGAGAATGACATGAACCCAGGACGCGGAGCTTGCAGTGAGCTGAGATCGTGCCACTGTACTCCAGCCTGGGTGACAGAGCAAGACTCCGTCTCAAAAAATAAATAAAAATAAATAAATAAATAAAAATTTAAAGAGGGTTAGGAGATGCATCCAGGCAGGAAGTAAAGTCTAAGAAAATAGAAAGGCAAGGAGAACTGTCCAGAGTGTCAATGGTGAAGTCTGGTGGTTGAGGATTGCCAAGGGGCAACCTGTCAGAGACTTTGAAATCAACATCAGTTCCTGCTCGGAAAGCTAATTGTGTTGTGATGAGCGTGACCCTCAAAGTAAATGTTTGGTTTAAAAAAAAGAAAGGAAGAAGGAATAAGCTTTTAACATCCTCCCCTTCCCCATTCTAAATATACCTAGCTGGTCTACTTTCAAGTACTATACACTTTTTTTTCCTTATGATCATGTTTCTATCCTACTGGTGTTAGTTTTTTCATCTTTCTGCCAGAGTGTACATTTTCCAAGGACAAGAATCATATCTAAATGAAACTGTAAACTCTTTAGCGTCAGCTGCAGTCTTAGGGAATCTAGTGTAAGAAATTAACTAACGACTAATTCCTGTAATGCTGGTATTTGTGTGATGGATGCGAGTCAGGATAAGATCTTATTCTAAAACACTAATTTCCAGGGAGGGTAACTTCACCATCTCTGAGTACTATACATTCAGAGACTGTAAAACAGTAATGATATTCTTACTGAGCAGCAAGCATTTACTGTGGGAAGAACAAGGTTTGAGCACCACTAGAAAGGATGGTAAGGGGCGGGCGGGGTGGCTCATGCCTGTAATCCCAGCACTGTGGGAGGCTGAGGCAGGTGGATCACCTGAAGTTGGGAGTTCAAGATCAACCTGACCAACATGGAGAAACACTGTCTCTACTAAAAATACAAAAATTCGCCAGGTGTGGTGGTGGGCGCCTGTAATCTCAGCTACTCGGGAAGCTGAGGCAGGAGAATCGCCTGAACCCGGGAGGCGGAGGTTGCTGTGAGCCAAGAATGTTCCATTGCACCCCCACCCGGGAAAAAAAAAAAAAATTCTGTCTCAAAAAAAAAAAAAAAAAAAAAAAAAAAAGAAAGGCTGGTATGGCTGGGAGTGGTGGCTCACACCTGTAACCCCAGCACTCTGGAAGACCGAGACAGGCAGATCACCTGAGCTTAGTAGTTCAAGACCAGCCTGGGCAACATGGTGAAACTCTGTCTCTACAAAAAATAAGCCGAGTGTGATGGCACACGCCTGTAGTCCTAGCTACTTGGGAGGCTGAGGCAAGAGAATCCCTTGAGCCCAGGAGGCGGAGCTTGCAGTGAGCTGACATTCAACCATTGCACTCCAGCCTGGGCTACACAGCAAGACTCTATCTAGGAAGAAAAAAAAAAAAAAAAAAAAGAAGAAGAGAGAGAGAAAAAAAGAAGGATGGTATGAAATAATTGAGATATGCTCTTAATATAAGAGATTCTTACCACTAGTTGGGGAGCCAGAACATTCAAATGTAACCTCAGGAACATATCAGTAAGTGCAAAATAACAGAGTAATGGTATGAAATTAAATGCTTAAGTGGTGAGGGGCTACAAAGGAATAAGTAATGTGAGCCATTTTCAAGGGTAGGTTCTTACGTGCAGTTCAACCTAAGTAGGTTATCAAAGGTATTTATACTAAGCACTAAAAGCTAAGTATTAAATACTAAAAGCTGCCTGTGTCAACACTGGCCCACGACATCCCCAAGGCGAGTGCTGGCTAAAAGGTCTGGAACTTTAACTCTTGAGAGTTCTTTACTTAGCACATCAATCAGATGTTTACCTTCTGCTACTTTGTTCTTTAGCCCCTGGGGAAAATCTCCATCTTAACGGGGGGAAATCTCCATCTAAAGGGGCCTCAGATTGAAATTGGGGTTAGGGATCCTAACTTAATGACTGAGCGTGCCTGGGTTCCACCCAGCCGCAACTGGGCAAGACTTGGTCCTCTCAAGGCCTTTCCTCCAGAGAGGTTAAATCTTCAACGCCTGCTCTCCACTTTCCAGCCTTTTCTTAAGGCTCTTCTTTCAGCCTAGTATCAGTGACCAACCTCTCCTTCCTAGGCCCTCTCATTATTATTTAAATTTCCATTCTTTTGGGGGCTTCAGCTTCAGTAAAAACATTTCCTCTTCTTCCTCCGCCTCAAGCATCTGGATTCCAGAGGTCATTCGAGCTAAATGGGGTTCAATGCTTTTCTGACTCTGGTACTGCATTCCTGGGACACTTTCAAATCACATTTTTCACCCCAGGGCCCCCAGTGGTCTCAAACCCAAACACAGTGCGGGAAGGAAGTGGACGCTCGCCACAGAGCTAAATTGGGAATTCTTTGAGCTGCAGCTTCTGGAGAACGGTTTTGCCTCCTCCCCGCGACATCAACTAACTTACTTGCTGTTAGCTAAGGGCAAGGACAATGTCTCCTCTACCAGACAGGAAACTTCCTGATGGCGGACGCTACCCTTTAGTTCCTTTTTCAATTCCCCATTCCCACCCCTTCGACACCAGGATGGTTCTTAAAATACAAAGTTTCTTTCACAAAACATCCCTCCGCAACTTTTGAGTTTATGTAATAAACGGAAACGTCCTTTAAACAATCAGGCAACGAAGGGGTTAAATCTAATCTCAGCAAACTCATGGATTCCGGGGGGTTTCCTTCCTCGACTCTAGAAATTAAAACGACCGGGAAGGGAAATTTTGCCCAAGGTAAAGATGAGAACCGTTTACATCAACTGTCAGGCTTCTGCCCCAAACAAGAATGGCTACCCACGCCCACAAACAGCGCCACTCACGTTAACTAAAAATGGCTGGTCCCGGATTCCACCACTGGCGTCACTTTCTGCCCAACTTCAAAATGGCGCCCACTAGCTTCACCAAAAGGATCTAATCTCCCAGCACCCTCTTTGGCCCGTAACGCCAGGTGACGCGAGACCCAGCCGGAAGTGAAGGAAAAAGCGCTTCAGCCCGCGGCGCCTGCGCAGAACGCTCCAGACGCTGAGAGGCAGGAGGCACTAGGAATCGTCCGCAGGATTGGGACTGCTACAGAGGCCGCCACGGAGCCCGCCGGAGCCACCGTTCCTGCTGCTGCTGCCGCCGCTGCCCGAATCGGAACCGTCGGGCCGCAGCCGCCGGCAATGCCGCGAAGGAAGGTGAGAAACGGGAGAGGAGGGATGGCGGGTTTCTAAGGACAGTCGATTGAGCACCGTGACGCAGTTGGCCACGCCTCACAGTGCTTGGGTCCCAACTTCCCGCTCCCCCGAACCTTGCTCAGCCACCCTCTCTTCTGTCCATATCCAACAGAAAAATGTGGGCCCGACCCTGGCCTCGGCCTATGCTTGCAACTATTCCCGCCCTCTGCTTGCCTGGATCCGAGGCGTTCTTATTAATTGGTCGCTGAAACGTCAGGAAGCATATTGATTGGCTGGTGACGCCGCCTGTTTGGGCTCAACGGTCACCTCCCCGCGTGCGGGGGCGGTGTCTGGCCCCGGCCCTAGCGCTCTCCCACTGGCTGGAGAGAACGATCCCTCCTCTCCTGATTGGTCGGGGTTGGCAGTCTGTCCTGTGGGGGCGCGGCTTAGGCGGACCTCGATTGGGTGGCCCGAATCCCCGCCTTTCCGAGCGGGGACGCTGATAGGTGCAGAGGCGGGGTTTTGGAGGCCTCGTTACTTTCCAGGTGAGGGGCACAACAAAGCAGAAGACTGGGTGATGGGAAGCCGGCGCCCACTCCCAGGGGATCCCACTCAGGCCAGTTGCCTCCAAGCCGTAATCTTTATTTGCTAGTTCGACAGCTCCTAGAAAATGCAGTTGGTAAAAACCGAAAACTTCTAGAATTAGGACTTAGGAGGTCACCCAGGAATGGCCCCCTACTTCTTACAGTTGAACTAACGGAGGTCCATGGAGTGCCGCAAGCCACTCAGGCAGTGGCAGATCCAGAATATAGAACAAATCTAACTCAATTCAACAAATGTCTATTGATTACTTTCTGCGCGGTGGTTGCTGAGGATTCAGAAATTTATTAGATGTGATACCTGGCTTAAGGGTATCACAGCCCGATAGGAGAAAACAGACATGAATAACCTTAGAACGATCTAGTAAGTTCTCTGCTTGGAGGTGTATACAAAGTGTTACAGGAAGGAAGTGAAGGAGCAGTTGGTCTGCTCTGGAGTACAATGGTAGGTATACTGGTAAAAGCCACAGGGAAGAGCTGAGTTCCAGGATCAAGCCAGGAAGGAACAAGTTTCACATCAAGGCTTTAAATATCTAGGTAATTAGACTATAATGGTGACTTTTAAGATTCCCCCTTCATTTTAGCTGTTTTCTGTGATTCTTGCTTATTTTAGACATTTTCTGTGATTCTTGCTCATTTCCTGGCAGGTTACCCTTGAGATATTTGGAAAACTGGGTGGTATTCTTGCTCATTTCAGTAGAAATCTTTCTCTTCACAGAGGTTTTTCAGGCTGAAAATGTATGCTTTTTAATGTCTCCTAAAATGATCTCAGCTGGTGGGTGGTATGTATGGTTTTTTGTTTTTTTTTTTTAAGATGGAGTTTTGCTCTTGTTGCCCAGGTTGGAGTGCAATGGCATGATCTCGGCTTGCTGCAACCTCTGTCTCCCGGCTTCAAGCGATTCTCCTGTCTCAGTCTCCCTAGTAGCTGGGATTACAGGCGGATTCCATGACGCCCAGCTAATTTTTGTGTGTTTAGTAGAGACAGGATTTCACCATGTTGGTCAGGCTGGTTTCGAACTCCTGACCTCAGGTGATCCACCCGCCTCGGCCTCCCAAAGTACTGGGATTGAAGGCATGAGCCACCGCGCCCAGCCGGTGGTATGTGTGTTAAGGCTCACCAAATGCAGGAATAATATTGGTGCCTTGAAATAGGGCCCCAGTCTTCTTTCTTAATTTCCTGAATACCAGGAGTTTCTTGAAAATGTACATTTTTTTAGTAACCTGTTTGGCAGCAAACCTGTCTTAATCTGTCCTGAGGCTACTTACAGTTTTTGTGTGTCTCATTTAGTGTGACTGTTTATATCTTTTGCTGCAGAAGTATTATGTTTTGTTATTGCACCCAATATTTGCAGGATAGATGCAAAGTACTCCCCTTCTAAAACTCCAAAAAAAAATACGAATTCTAAACACAACTGGCCCTCAGGGTTTTGAATAAAGAATTGGGACTTACAGCGTGAATCTTTGTATTTTTAGCAAATATTTTTTCCTTTCTGGTTTTGTAAAGGGTATAGTGTTAGTGCTCAATTGATAAAAGTTATCTTTATGGCTAAGAAAGAACTCCTCAGGAGGTTAATAATTGACAGATAATTATTCACTGAAAAGATGGTTTTGAAAACAACTGTTTTTGAATACCCATGAGTCTTCATGTGCAAGCTGCCTTTTTGAAAGATAGATGGCTTTCATGTGGAGAAACTTCAAGGATAAATGGCATACGCAGTAACAATTTTTGTCTTTTTCTGCTTAAATTCTTTTGGGATGAGAGTTGTGGTCCATGATATTTTGAGATAGTATATGATTTTTAAAAAATAGTATAGCTTTTCATGGAGACATTTAACAAAAGCTACTCTAAAGTTAAATGAGGTCTAGCACCAACGATTTTTTCACTACATTGGACCTTTTTTTGTGATACTGATCTCCGAATGATCTTGGTTCATACTTAGTGCTAATACAGTAAGAATTAATTATCTTCATGGCTGGGTGTGGTGTCTCACGTCTGTAATCCCAGCACTTTGGGAGGCCAAGGCGGGTGGATCACCTGAGGTCAGATGTTCAAGACCAGCCTGGCCAACATAGTGAAACCTCATCTCTACTAAAAATATAGAAATTAGCTGGGCGTGGTGGTGGGTGCCTGTAGTCCCTGCTACTTGGGAGGCCAAGGCAGGAGAATCGCTTGAACCCAGGAGGCGGAAGTTACTGTGAGCTGAGATTGTGCCCTTGCCCTCCAGCCTGGGCAACGGAGCGAATGAAATGGAAGCTCTTCATTTATTTAACAAAAGTCCCTTATTTGTACATTGTTCCATTTAAGTGTTCTAAATAAAGTGAAGTTGCCTGGGTGGGTGGGAGGATGGGAAATGCTTGTGGAATCCTTTCTTAGGTTTGAACTTGGTGTTTTCGGTGTCACAGCTTGTTTTATTTTCAGTGTTAATGCAAACCCTCAGACCAAATGCTTCTGTGCTAATATCTGGATCTATGGTATTACAGAGGAATGCAGGCAGTAGTTCAGATGGAACCGAAGATTCCGATTTTTCTACAGATCTCGAGCACACAGACAGTTCAGAAAGTGATGGCACATCCCGACGATCTGCTCGAGTCACCCGCTCCTCAGCCAGGCTAAGCCAGAGTTCTCAAGGTAAAAATCTTCATTTTTCCTTACCACTCCTCACATCTGGCTGACGGGCCCATCACGTTATTTTCCTAGTTAATGTGGAAACTGGTCCCTTGGCTTGGTGTAGATGACAGTGCACCAGATGATTGGTAAAATGTGGAGTGAATGCAGAGTTGTCAGCTCTTTAACAATGCTTCTGTTGGGGGCTGCTATCCAGTTTGTAGACCCAAAGGAACTGTGGATGGTATAATGGATAGAGACACATGTATGTCTTGAGTCATTTGTGTTTTTTTTGTTTGTTTGTTTGTTTGTTTTTTTAGATCGCCGTGTCTCCATCAGTAAAATGAAAATGTTATCCCTTCACTTTCTGTTTGAATGGTTTAGGCTTAGGGACTTGAAGTCCAGATGGTATCTGACTTATGGTGGTTTGATTTAATTATTATTATTTTTTTTAACTTTACTGTGGTGCTAAAGCAATATGCATTCAGTAGAAACTTTTCGAATTTTGAATTTCAATCCGTTCTTGGGCTAGTGATATGTGGCCGAAATATTTTCTTGTGATGCTGAATAGTGGCAATGAGCTATAACTTCCAGTCAGGGAGCCGTAACTCCCAGTCAGCCATTTGATCATAAGGGTAAACCAGTACCCTTCAGTGTACTGTCTTCAATAAATTACATGCAATATTCAATACTTTATTAAAAATAGGCTTTGTGTTAGATGATTGTGCACAATTGTAGGCTAATGTAAGTGATTTGAGCCTATTTAAAGTAGGCTAGGCTAAGCTATGATGCTCGGTAGGTTAGGTGTATAGTGCTTTTATTTTCTGGAGACAGGGTCTTGTGCTCTGTTGCACAGGTTGGAGTGCAGTGGTGTGATCTTGGCTCACTGCAACCTTGACCTCCTTGGCCCAAGTGATCCCCCCACCTCAGCCTCCTGAGTAGCTGGGACTACTTGGGAAGTCTTGTTATGTTATCCAGGCTGGTCTCAAACTCCTGGACTCAAGCAGTCCTTCCACCTTGGCCTCCCAAAGTACTGGGGTTATAGATGTGAGCCATCATGTTCAGCCTGTAAATGCATTTTTAACTTATAATACTTTCAACTTATGATGGTTTTATTGGGACTTAACCCCATTATAAGTCAAGGAGCATCTGTAGTCTCTTGGACTTGTTATTGGCAGAGGCCCAGTACTTCTAAAACCATGTTTAATTCTGGAATGTAATCCAATACACACTTGATAAATATTAATAATTGTACCAAAATATCAGTGTGGAAATATGGAATTTTGCTTTGGTAATAAAGAATTGAGAATCTTGGGGTTGGAAGGTAGTTTGAAGTATCTCTAGTGCATTTAGGCATCTGGGGTTAGATTTGGAGGGTACCCTTGACCCCTCCTGGCTCTTCTCTGGTATTCCCTGAGGAGGAAAGAAGGTTGTAGCTAATATAGAGAGCTGATGATCAATAGGTGGTAATAGATTAGGGGAAAAAAGCTTTAACATGTTTTGAGCACTTCAACAGTGTTGCTTTGGTTACTTTTTTTTTTTTCTGAGATGGAATCTCGCTCTGTCGCCAGGCAGAGTGCAGTGGCGTGATCTTGGCTCACTGCAACTTCTGCCTCCTGGGTTCAAGCAATTCTCCTGCCTCAGCCTGCAAGTAGCTGGGACTGCAGGCATGTGCCACCATGCCCAGCTAATTTTTGTATTTTTAGTAGAGATGGGGTTTCACCATGTTGGCCAGGATAGTCTCAATCTCTTGACCTCATGGTTTGCCTGCCTCGACCTCCCAAAGTGCTAGGATTATAGGCGTGAGCCACCATGCCCTGCCGCTTTGGTCACTTTTATATGAGTATGTTGCACAATGAGAGAAAAACCATCAGTTTTTCAAGCAAGAAAGTGGGAATATCCCCTTTAACAACTATTCTTAACTTTATTTTTGAATTTAGGATTTCAGCTAAAGTATTGCTATTGTCTCTTGATTTCTTAAGCTTTAAATTTTTACCACAATGAGACTATGGATAAATAGCTACTGTAACTCAAGCACTATGTTATGTCCTAGGAACCATGATAGAAAAATCATAGTTCCTGTCCTCAAGGATCTTACAGTTCAGTGCAAGATATAGATATGAAAAGTGGTCATGGGAATATATTATGGCAAGGGCTGTGAGAGGGGTTTGCATAGAGTACTACAGAAGCCCAGAGGTGGGATAGCCAACTTAGGGCAGCACTCCCACAATGATGAAGTCTTTTTTGTTGTTGTCGAGACAGAGTCTCGCTGTGTTGCCCAGGCTGGAGTGCAGTGGCATGATCTTGGCTCACTGCAGCTTCCGCCTCCTGAGTTCAAGTAATTCTCCTGCACCAACCTCCCATGTAGCTGGGATTACAGGTGAGCATCACCATACCTGGCTATATTTTGTATTTTTAGTAGAGACAGGGTTCGCCATGTTGTCCAGGCTCGTCTTGAACTCCTGATCTCAAGTGATCTGCCCACCTCGGCCTCCCAGAGTGCTGGGATTATAGGCGTGAGCTGCCGTGCCTGGCTGCACACTGACGTCTTAAAGGCTCTGATAGGAATTTACAAGTTGAAAGATGGGAATATGTTATTCTCGGCAGATGGAACAGCATATGCTAAGGAAAAGACATAATGTTCGTAGAAAGTGTAATTGACCATGCCCTAGACACCTGAAAACTAAATATTCAAAACAGCTAGGAAATGCGTAAGCCCTGGGTCTTGACCTCATGACCACAGAGTTGCACAACTCCGGGGTACCATTTACAATGTCATCCATGTAAGGTGTTCCTCCCTAGAGCAAAATGTAGATCATATTGTGAAAGGAGGCCCCTGGAGATGTACAAATTGATAACCTTGTTGTGTGCTAACTTTTCTCACCCGAAAGTTTGGAAATTTTCAGTTTTCTTCTTTGGAGAGTCTATAAGATTTCTTCAGATTTTTTGTTGTTAAAATATCCGTTGGGGGGTGCAGCTGTGAGAGAGTGAGGCTGACACCTGACCTGTGCATCCTGCCCTCCAAAAAAAAAAAAATTAATTAATTAATTAAAATAAAATATACTTTAGAGAGGATTTTGAATGTTCTCACCACAAAGAAATGACAAGTGTTTGAGATATGGATATGCTAATTATTTTGATTTCATCATTACACAATGTATACATCTATCAGAACATCACAGTATACTCCATAAATATGTACACTTATATGTCGATTAAAACAAAACTAAGACTGCTAGGGGCTTACGCGGAGGGAGTTGAGCCAGCATCACCACAATGATGTTGGAGAGCGAGCAGTTCCTGATGGAGCTGACCAGACTCTTCCAGAAGTGCTGGACGTTGGGCAGCATCTGTATCACCTTGAAGAAGTAGAGTGGTCGAACCAAACCCGTTCCAAAGAAAGGTTCTGTGGAGGGCTTTGAGCCCTCAGACAAGTGTCTGCTAAGAGCTATCTATGGGAAAAAGAAGGTTAGCACTGTGGTGAGCTCCAAGCAAGTGAATAAGTTTCAGATCGCTTATTCAGACCTACTGAGTGCTAACATGGATGGGCTGAAGGGACAAAAAGAACAAAAGTAAGAAGACAAAAGCAGTAGCACAGTAAAGGGCACAAATTTCCTGTTTTCACCAATTAACCACTGAATTGCTATTTTTTCCTTTGGGTTTTACTTTTGGCCACATAGCTAGGTTTCTGGTTCCCCCACACTAGGTGTTTTCACATAAGATGTAGGATCCTTTTGCAAAGAATAGCTGCAATGTTTATAGGGTAGTTGTGGTAAAAATCTAGTTTATTTTACATTTGGCTAATTGGTCTGTACTGCATGGTTATATACTCCTGGATTATAGATTAAAAGTCTCCATAGTCATCTCTGTAGAAAGTAAGCTATCATTAAGCATGTCTGTTTATCAAAAAAAAAAACAAAAAACGAAAACATATCTATATATATTTTAAAAAATGCTTTACTTTCAGCTTTGAATTTCTTTCATTTCCTTTGTCATCAGGTTGGAGATATAAAAGGGGGGCACTGAGTGCCTCAGAATAGGTTTTTCCATCCAAAAAACTTAAAATGCTGCATTCCTATTTTACCTTTATGAATCTATTATGATTGTGCTAGAGAGAGTAATAAGAAAGAAAAAAATTGGCCCCTTAAGAAAGGAAATCATTTTGTTTGTTGTTATATCTTTGTTAATAGAATATCTGTTCTATGGTGGGTTAGAAAAAGGGAAGAATGAGAGGATGCAGCTAATATTTATAAAGCGCTGTGTACCACGGATGATGTTAAGTGCTTCACGTGCATTATCTCACCTATTGCTCACTACAATGTTATGAGGAATGTGCTACTAGTATTTTCCTTTTCAATAGGTCAGGAAACAGGCTTGGAGAAAATAACTTGCCCAAGATGCCGTAGCTAGTTGGTATGAATCACATTTAGTCATAATTCCAGAACCTAAACTATTAATGCTGTACTACATTACGTCTCTATACCTGAGCTAGGCTCTTTTGCTTATATTTTATTTAATTAAATAGACATTTTAAGGATTTGTTGGATTTTTTGAAACATGAAGAGGAGGAGGAGCTACATTCTAATAAATTATATGGATAGGAAGTAAAACAGATTTCCATCTTTTTTCTTTATTTTCTTTTAAAATCGGGATCAGATTCCAGTCCTGTTCGAAATTTGCAGTCTTTTGGCACTGAGGAGCCTGCTTACTCTACCAGAAGAGTGACCCGTAGTCAGCAGCAGCCTACCCCAGTGACACCGAAAAAATACCCCCTTCGGCAGACTCGTTCATCTGGCTCAGAAACTGAGCAAGTGGTTGATTTTTCAGATAGAGGTGAGTGGGTATGGTATGACTTAGACCTATCACAGAGCATCTGGGTGAATTTCTTTTTAAGGAGGGCTTGGGGCCACTGCAGGTAGATGCCTAATACTTCAGCTAGATGAATGCTGTTTGCTTGTTTCCTTTCTTATGTCTTGCTGAGGACAGTTTGATATCAGAATATTCTCAAGGTGCAGAGTAACTGGAGTATATTAAAATGGACCTATAATAGGAAAAAGAGACTGGGGCCTTCTTAACCACAGATGAAAAGGGCTTGAAGCAGACTTTTCTTATAGCCATACTTCTCAGCCCATTTATCTCCAAATTTCTTCATGCAGAGGTTACCGACTGGTGAACTACTTCTAGCCTCTCCGCATGGTTGGTTGGTTTGCGTGCACAGTGTTTAAAATTTTTAAAATTTGTTTCTAGTATTTGAAAACACAGTGATTTCATATAAAAACCTGGATTAATCGTTTATTTTAAACAATGAAAAGATCTGGGAACACTAGGTGGCCAATCACCCATAGTAATAATTGGCTGGAGTTGAATAGTAGCTGTCCCCTTTGGATGGACAATGAGCTGTCTATTTGGCCTTGCTGAGCCCCTGTAGCCATTTGGTTTGCAATTCCTGATTTACAGTCTGGAATTTCAAGATTGAATTGTTAGACTACCAACAGGCTCACTCAAGAGTCTAAGTCCATTCACATCTTACACCAAGCCTGTCCAGTGTCATCAAGAAAGACAATCACTGTCACTTATCTTCTGTCCTGTGTCTCTCCTGGAAGGGAAATGGGATAGTAATTGTTTTTGTGTGTGTTTTTTTTTGGGGGGGGGGCGGGGAAGGAGTCTCGCTCTGTCGCCTAGGCTGGAGTGCAGTGGCGCGATCTTGGCTCACTGCAAGCTCTGCCTCCTGGGTTCACGCCTTCCTCCTGCCTCAGCCTCCCAATTAACTGGCACTACCGGTGCCCGCCACCATGCCTGGCTAATTTTTTTTTTCTGTATTTTTAGTAGAGATGGGGTTTCACCATGTTAGCCAGGATGGTCTTGATCTCCTGACCTTGTGATCCGCCCACCTTGGCGTCCCATAGTGCTGGGATTACAGACGTGAACCACTGTGCCTGGCTGTAATATTTTTAAAATTTATTTCCATCCAGTTTTGATTATCCATGATTAGCAACTCAGGAGAAATACAGATAGGTGTAATAGGTAAAGTACAAATTTAATTTTAATTAGAATTTAAAGTTGCACAAAAGGAGTGGTGTAGAAGTGCCTCTTCATTTTCCACTTAGCTGTCTAGCAGACAAATAGCTGAAAGTTACTGGTTAAATCATAGAAAAAGAATCTGGGAAGCCCATAAACTCATCTGAATAGTAAACCTCTAAATAAATGAACCTCACTCGTGACTTCTACCAATTGTTTTTGCTTTAGAAACTAAAAATACAGCTGATCATGATGAGTCACCACCTCGAACTCCAACTGGAAACGCACCTTCTTCTGAGTCTGACATAGACATCTCCAGCCCCAATGTGTCTCACGATGAGAGCATTGCCAAGGACATGTCCCTGAAGGACTCAGGCAGTGATCTCTCTCATCGCCCCAAGCGCCGTCGCTTCCATGAAAGCTACAACTTCAATATGAAGTGTCCTACACCAGGCTGTAACTCTCTAGGTCAGTGTGCCCCAGCTTCATGACATCCTTTGTTCTGTGGTTCTCTCTCCCAGGATCATCCAGAAATGTTTTGTGTTCTGTTGGGGTTTAGCTTCTTAGGCTCTTCGTGGTCATGTGCTGAGTGATAATGAGTTGCTCACTTGAATAAAAGCCTTTCTCTTCTTGACCGATGGTCCATAATAATAGACCTGGTTGTAAGGAAATTAACTATGATGAACAATTTAGTTTATCAAGAGCTTTTCCCAGTGAAAAATTCACTCCTTTACCCAGCAAAAACAAAAAAGACTATCTCCAAATATCTTATTGCATGGCACATAGCTCATACTCAGTGAGGACTAGTTAAGGGTAAGCTAGTACAGAATAGTGGTTGCGCAGCCATAGCTGTTAAGGAAATGAGGAAAACATTTCCTGTCAGGAGGCTGTGAAATTAAGAGTACACATGAGACCCTAGCCTTCTGTAACTTTAGTAGCTTTAGGTCTTGTGCTTTGTGTGCTTAGTAAGTATAAAGAAGATAAAATATTTCTTCTGTGATAAATATCTTATTTTCTTATGAGTTTTACCCCTTAATGAATTACTTTAGAGATTCTTGGAGTGGTTTGAACCTTATTTGTGCACCTTCAGTGAGCTGAGGTGCGTATATTGGGCTTAAGCTTTTGTCTAGAGTTGGAAGAAACTGATTGGGAGATAAGGGGTCTTTCACTACTGGGTCTACTTCTCAAATTCATACTTTGCATGTGGCTATCAAGTTTGAAAAACGGTAGAACAGAGTAAGTTACTGCTTGGCAGGCCAACAGTACACTTTCTGTAGTGGTTTTTTTGTTGTTGTTTGTTTGTTTTTGAGACGGAGTCTCGCTCTGTCGCCCAGGCTGGAGTGCAGTAGCGCCATCTTGGCTCACTGCAACCTCCACGTCCCGGGTTCAAGCGATTCTTCTGCCTTAGCCTCCCAAGTAGTTGGGATTACAGGCGCCCACCACCAGGCCTGATTTTTGTATTTTTAGTAGAGACGGAGTTTCGCCATGTTGGTCAGGCTGGTCTCAAACTCCTGACCTCATGATCTGCATGCCTCTGCCTCCCAAAGTGCTGGGATTACAGCATGAGCCACCATGCCCGGCCTTTTGTTCATTTTTATAGAGAGACAGGGGTTTCACTTTGTTCCCCAGGCAGGGGCGCAGTGGCATAATCATAGCTCACTGCAGCCTCAACTCCTAGGCTTAAGTAATCTTCCCATCTCAGCCTCCCAAGTAGCTGGGACTACAGACATGTGTCTTGGCTTTTTTTTTTTTTTTTTTGGTCTTATTTTTTAGGGATGAGGTTTTTTCTGTGTTGTTCAGGTTGGTCTTCCAACTCCTGGGCTCAAGCAATCCTCCCCACTCATGCTGAGTAGCTGGGTCTACAAGCGTGAGCCACCATGCCCAGTGGTTTTCTGTAGTGTTTAATTAATTTGGATCATTTCCTGGTCTTATAGCAGTTTCTCAGATAATTTCAAACCATCAAAATGAATAAATACAGCAAAGTTCTCTTGAACTCCATACCAGTTGTCACTCAAAGAGGATAATTGTTTCAGGCCTGCATTGATTTCCTTGGAATAAATAATGAAAAACTAAGAAAGACAACATATTATACTAGTATAAGAGATGATGGCTAATGTGCTGTAAGAGTTGAAGGGGATCTACTTGCCATGCAGCAAGAAAAGGAATTTTCTTTTGCTTCTGCTTGTTACTAACCATTTGTTGCTAAATTGTTACTTTTATGTACTATATTTGGTCATTCATGCAGTAAATATTTACTGAATATTGGTCATGTGCCAGACACTGTTTTAAGTTATGAGGATGTAGCTATGAACAAGTCAAAGTCTCTGCTCTCATGGAGCTTATAGTCTAGCTGAGGAAGGCAAATAGATAGATGTATAATGTATCAACTGGAGGTAAATACTGTGAAGGAAAATAAAACTGGGAGTACTGAGGGTAGGATATTGTGTGCATACATACATGTATGCATACATATGTATATGTATATGTGACATAGGAAAAGCTACTCTGATATGGTCACATTTGAGCAGAGACTTGCTGTTTGAATATTTTACAATAAACATTATGGGTAGGGAGAACAGCAAGTGCTCTGGGCAAGAGAATAATTAACCAGTTTGAGGAACACTTAGAGGCCAGTATACCTGGGGCAGAGTGACCAGAATGGAGAGGAGGAGGTAGGCGAGAATGGGGCCTGATTGTGTTATTTATGCCCAGGAGTTAACCTCTTAATGGGGTAGACCATAGGGTAAATAAAAAAGATGTTGCATTAGAGGAAAGTTTATTTGTATTTATTTATTTATTTGTTTGTTTATTTTGGAGACAGAGTCTCATTCTATAACCCAGGCTGGAGTGCAGTGGCGTGATCAGTCACTGCAACCTCCACCTCCTGGGCTCAAGCGATTCTCGTGCCTCAGCTGCCTGAGTAGCTGGGGTTTACAGGCATGTGCCACCATGCCTGGCTAATTTTTTGTATTTTTTAGTAGAGACGGGGTTTTGCTATGTTGACTAGGCTGGTCTCAAACTCTTGGTCTCAAGTGAAAAAGTTTACTTTGACTTTGGTTTTCATGTATTGGAACTTTGAAAAATAGGAACCTGAGCTTCCAAAGTATCCTTTTTTTTGAGGCAGAGTCTTACTCTGTCACCTAGGCTGGAGTGCAGTGGTGCGATCTCAGCTCAGCCTCCGCCTCCCAGGCTTCATTGGATTGTCTCCCAAGTAACTGGGACTATAGGCACATGCCACCATGCCCAACTAATTTTTGTATTTTTTATAGAGACAGGGTTTCACCATGTTGCCCAGGCTGGTCCTGAACTCCTGGGCTCAAGTGATCCTCCCACTTCAGCCTCCCAAAGTGTTGGGATTACAGTTGTGAGCCACTGCACCAGGCCCCAAAATATTCTTGACCCTAGTCTATTCCTTAAGAATTTTATGTACTTGTGAAAAATTAAAGCTCTATAAGAAAGTTTGAAGTGCATTAAGTAAAAATTTTCCTTCACTCATGCCCCCAGAACCGTGCCACAGATACAAAACTTCTGTTTGCAGTTTTCTATGAATGCTTCCAAGAAGTTTTTCTACATATATAAGCACACATATATGTACATGTATTTCCTTTGTGTGATTATTCATAAAAGGGAAAATAGGATACATTCGTTGGTTGTACATCTTGGATATTTTACGTTATTAGTATTTAGAGGTCTGTCTTTTTAAAAGATGTGGAGAATTTCATTATGTTGATAGTTCATAAATATTTAAATTGTCTCATTCACATTTAGATTGTTTCTCATTTTTAGCTTTTTTGAACAATACTGTAATGGGTAGCCTTTTATGTACATATTTTGGTGTCTTTCTAGCAAATCTGTAGGATAAATTCATAGCAGTGGAATTTTTAGGTTAATAGATAAGCTGTTCCTTTTTTAACGTACATGGTAGATTGGTTTTCATTAACATGTAGAAGAAAACATGACCTGAATAAGTTACTAAGAAGTATGGATATGCCCAGGCACGGTGGCTCACGCCTGTAATCCCAGCACTTTGGGAGGCCAAGATGGGTGGTCACCTGAGGTCGGGAATTCGAGACCAGCCTGGTCAACATGGTGAAACCCTGTCTGTATTAAAAATACAAAATTAGCCGGGCGTGGTGGCGGCGCTTGTAATCGCAGCTACTCAGGAGGCTGAGGCAGGAGAATCGCTTGAACCTGAGAGGTGGAAGTTGCAGTGAGCCGAGAACACCCGATTGCACTCCAGCCTGGGCAACAAGAGTGAAACTCCATCTCAAAAAAAAAAATAAAAGAAGTATGGATACATAGTATCTGAAAAGCAAGTCTTGCAATAGTAATGACACTCCTTTATATACATATATATATTTTTTGAGACGGTCTCTCTATCACCTAGGCTGGAGAGTGGTGGCGTGACCATGGCTCACTGCAGCCTTGAATTCCTGGGCTTAAGTCATCCTGCCACCTCAGCCTTCTGAGCAGCCAGGACTACAGGCATGGACCACCATGCCTGGCTAATTATTTTTATTTTTGTAGAGGTGGAGTCTCACTATGTTGCCCAGGCTGGCCTTGAGCTTTTGGATTCACGTAGTCCTCATGCGTTGGCCTCCCAAAATGCTGGGATTATAGGTGTGAGCCACTGTGCCCAGCTGACACTATGTTGTATATATGGTATTTGATCAGTGAGGATGGTTTTTCTGTCCGAGATAATTTTGTGGATCTCTAAAATTGCATTTTTTTTTTCTTTTTTGAGACGGAGTCTTGCTCTGTTGCCTAGGCTGGAGTGCAACGGTGCAATCTTGGCTCACTCAGCCTCTGCCTCCTGGGTTCAAGTGATTCTCCTGCCTCAGCCTCCCGAGTAGCTGGGGTTACAGGCATGCATCACCATGCTGGTCTAATTTTTATATATTTTTAAGTAGAGACGAAGTTTCACCATGTTGGCCAGGCTGACCTCAGGTGATCTACCTGCCTTGGCCTCCCAGAGTGTTGGGATTACAGGCGTGAGCCACCGTGCCTGGCCCTAAAATTGCATTTTTAATAATACAGTCCCAGAGAAACGGTAGCCTGAATGTTCTAAAATCACCCACTCCCCAGTACTTGGACTGTTTTTTCCTTTTAAAGTTTATTCTGTAAATTATGTTGTGTAAGCTTTAAACTCCCACTGTCTTCTTTACCTCAGATTAAATATATATATATATTTGTAATGAAAGATGAAGATTTTTGTAGACTCGCTATTCAGCTTAGCTAACTTTTTATCCCATTAGAATTGTCCTCCGAGCCCTTTCAGTCTTAGGTGTTTTATAAACCTTTTGGTTGAAGAGAAATATATAAAAAGGAAATAATGTTCAATTCCCTGTGTGTTTTCAAAAAAACCACAGGAAAAATAGATGAATGAAGAGAAACCCATTTAAATAAAACAAGCTTTCGTGTATTGTTATTCCTTATGTTTTTCCGTCTTCAGAAGGCCTTGTGTTACTGCCTGTTTCGGGCGTGGTGGCTCATGCCTGTAATCCTAGCACTTTGGGAGGTGGAGGCAGGAAGATTGTTTGAGTCCAGGAGTTCAGGACCAGCCTGGGCAACACAGTGAGACCCGTTTCTACAAAAAATTTTAAAATAGGCCCAGCGTGATGTGAGCCTGTAGTCCTGGCTACTTGGGAGGCTGAAGTGGGAGGATCACTTTGAGCCTAGGAGTTGAAGGTTGCTTTGAGCCATGGTTGCACCACTGCATTCCAGCCTAGGTGACATAAAAATATTTTAAAAAGTAAAAAAATCTGATTATAGAAGAATCCTAAATCTTTAAGCAAAACTCTGTTCTCCCTCCAAAAAATAAGTATTTAATCTGGTTTAAAGTTATGTAAATATGTTTACTTATATGATAGAAAAGGCCATTTCTTTCTCCATTTTTCATAAATTTATTTTGAGTATTGAAAGGGGTTAAATTCAGGTTGGATAGCATTGCACAGTAGAAAGAAAAGTACACTTATTATACATATGACCTGATTAATTTAGCGTAGGAGAGTTACATTCCACCAAAAGAAAGTGTTCCTCTTCATTGTCTTGTGCTTTATCACAAATGTTGACTTCATGACATTTTGAGATTTGAGAAGTCTAAGAGCAGAAAGAACTATGGTTTATATTGATCATACATAAGCATGTTCAAAGATAGCCAGATCCATCCTGTGGAAGAAAAGAATGAGTGCAAGTTATAGCCCTACCAGCCTTACCTTTGGTGGATTCAGTCTGATCAGACATATATTTGATAAAAATGATGTAGCGAAAAAACAGGTTTGTCGTAGAGAAACATACTGCTTTCTAAGCTTGTCTTCTTTCTTGAGATTGAGTTTTCCCTCCTTTAACAGGACACCTTACAGGAAAACATGAGAGACATTTCTCCATCTCAGGATGCCCACTCTATCATAACCTCTCAGCTGACGAATGCAAGGTAATTGTGTTCTCGTTTATTCAACATACGCTTTTTGAGTGCTTACCGTTTGCCAGACACTTTACTAAACACTGGGGATACAGTGGCCAATAAGATGGACAGGGTCCTTGTTCTTACGTTGTAGTCGAGGAAACATAAAAACCAATGTGCTTTTTTAGAAAAAACTAGTTAAACAGACAAAAGAATTGTAATATGTTATGAGTGATTTGAAAGAAATTAACAAGGAGATTATGAAACATTTGGAACATCAGCTGCTAGTGCATTGATATTTTCTATTGAAAATTGGCTTCGAAGACTGCTAGGGACTTATTCCACTAAGGAATAATTTGCATATTTTATTTGCATAAAATTTGTGATCTTAATATTTATGCATTCAGTTCTCTTCTTATAAATCTATGAAGTCATTTTGCTTTTAAAAACCTTTCATAATTCTTGTTCCTTTTTCTGTCCTTTTCTGTGAAATACTTTTTGTTACTTTCAGTCACACCTACTCTTGGCTAATTCTTCTTTTAAATTCTTGAAACATAGCTCCTAAATAACCTTTGGGATTTTGAGATAACGTATTTAGGAGTAGAAGCTCAGATCCTATTTGTATGTTCCTGTGTGGGTTGCTGTTCCCAAGGATGGAACCAAAGATCTAATTATGGGGAAGCAAGAGTGGAAAATGTTATTAAATGGATTGCTTGAGTAGTATTGGATAGGTTATCTAAGCTGGTTAGACGAAAGTATTATTGTTGTTTTTGTTGTTACTTTGCTAATGATGCCAGGGTCACAGGTTTATTCCTGTCTGAGCCAATTTCATTGTGAGGAAAATTAGATTCCCTAGCTAACATTGATTTTCCTTGATTCAGGAATTTGTTCTCTTATTTACAGGTAGACTGCAGGGGTGAAAGTTTCTTTTATGTGGTTAGTCTTTCAGCAAAGTAGTGTACTTTCCATGTTTATATGGATTTTAAGGTCAATGACCCTACTCTTATTTTTCTTCATTCCAAATCTTTTTATAAGCGGCAGTTCCTTCTGCTCTGTGTAAAAGTAAGTTGTAGATCTTCCCATTGTCTTCCCATTAGCCTGGGACTAAATCAAAACAGAAAAAGCTGTGCCCCCATCTGTGTCAGAAGCAGGCAAGTCTTTAGGTACTTCTTTCTCAGAAAATAACTGCGATCCCTGCTTGTTGAGAGTTGTTGTCTACCACTTGTCTCTAAATGTAATGATCTGATACTATGGATGGTTTTACATAAAAATCTTATGACATGTCTTTTGCTTTTGAAATTGTTAGTTTATAACAATATGACTGTGTTAAGCAGTTTATTTTAGAAAAAGAAAAATTTAAGTTTAGAGAAGAAAATTCTGATAAAAGGAAAACATTTCTATCCTGAATTTATCCTCTTTGTTTCCTCTTCTTTGCAAGGGGCATTAGGCTCAGCATAATCCATCTTTACTACTGGAACATGTGCATGGAGGATCAGGAGAATTTCTGAGATGATATATTTTTATTACATTTAGAACTGTAAGTGGAAAGATTAGACAAATTCCCCACATTTATTAACAGCTCTAGTGTTTTTGAAGACCCTTCATATACGTGATTGCTTTTGAGTTTCCCAGGACACCCTTGCGATTAGTGATGTTACATTTGTATTCAGTCATATATTTCTGTAGCTGCATGTACCAAATACAGGTATCTGATGATTCAGTGAATAAAAGACTGCATTTAAGGAGCTCATGTTCTCATAGGGGGAGGCAACATAAACCTTCAAATTAATAAGTAAATAATTTTGTGCAATGATAAATATTGTGAGGAAAAAAGACGAATGATAGAGTCTGTTTTGGGGGTGAGGGTAGGGATAGCCCTGCTTTTCCCAGGATGGTCCAGGAAGACCTTCCTGAGAAGTTGGCATTTGATCTGGGACATGGATGATGGCAAAGAAGCAGTTGTGTAAAGATCTAGGAGAAAAGATACCTAAGTAGAAGGAACAGCAAGTGCAGAGGCCATGAGGCATGGCTAAACTGATGGGTTTGAGAGGCTGAATGAAAGTAGGTTGTGTATGGCTGGATCCAGATCATAAAGGACCTTGTGGACTTTGGCACAGGAGTATACTTTTGTTCTGATAGAATGAGAAACTTTTGGGGGGCTTTAACAAAGGCATGATAGGATTTCATGCACACTTTTTAAAACTGAAGGCTTGCTAACGTGGAGAATGGAGTGTAGAGGCAAGAGTTGATGCAGGGTATAAGGTGCTTGGGAGACTGCATGGAAGTTCAGGCAGTAATTGGTGGACTGGACTAGCTTTGTATCGGCAGCAATTCTAAGACTAGGTTGGATTCAGGATACATTTTAGAGGGGAGCAACCTGTTAGGCTTGCTGATTGATTTGATGTGAGGTGTGAGAAAAGAGAAGAATCTAGGATAACATTCAAGTTGTTGACCGGATCAGCTATTTAGACAGTATTGCTGTTTATTAATACTGGGAAGATTTGGGGTGGAGCAGATTTGTGGAGAAATGCCAGGCGTTCTGTTTTGACCATTCTGAGTTTTAGTGGTGAAGTGGAATAAGCAGTTGGATATGAGTTCCCAATTCCCAGATTATGAAACAGAAACTATTGAGAGCTGATGTCATTTGTCTGAGGTCATGTAACTACAGAGTTAAGTTTCACTGGAGACTTGAACCCAGGTTTTCTTTTTTTTTTTTTTCGAGACAGAGTCTCGCTCTGTCACCCAGGCTGGAGTGCATTGGTGCAATCTCGGCTCACTGCAACCTCAGCCTCCTGGATTCAAGCAATTCTCATGCCTCAGCTTCTTAGGTAGCTGGGATTACAGGTGTGCGCCACCACACCTGGCTAATTTTTGTATTTTTAGTAGAGACGGGGTTTCACCATGTTGCCCAGGCTGGTCTTGAACTCCTGGCCTCAAGTGATCTGCCCACCTTGGCTTCCCAAAGTGCTGGGATTACAGATGTGAGGCACTGCGTGTGGCCAAACCCAGGTTTTCTTTTTTCTTTTTTTTTTTGAGACGGAGTCTTGCTTTGTTGTCCAGGCTGGAGTGCAGTGGTGCAATCTTGGCTCACTGCAACCTCCGCCTCCCAGGTTCAAGTGATTCTCCTGCCTCAGCTTCCCAAGTAGCTGGGATCACAGGCGCCTGCCACCATACCCTGCTAATTTTTTGTATTTTTAATAGAGACAGGGTTTCACCATGTTGGCCAGGCTGGTCTCGAACTCCTGACCTTAGCTCATCTGCCCGCCTCAGCCTCCCAAAGTGCTGGGATTACAGGCGTGAGGCACCACGCCCAGCCCAAACCCAGGTTTTCTAATGTTTCCTTTGTACTTCATACTCTATTCTTGCACTTCCTCATGCTTTTTTTTTTATTTGTTGTACTTTGGGAAGAGTCCAGGCTCAGAGTCATCAGACATGATTAAAACCTTAGTGATCCCATCATTTAGCTGTTATCATTTCAACTTCTCTGATTCTGTTACTGGCTGGAAGGCAGAATGTGAAGCTTGCCTTATCTCTTTCTTGTAGAGATTGTGATAATAAGTGTGAAGACGCTTTGAAAGTAAAGTACAACATAAATCCAAGGCATTATCATTGTATTCTTATGCTTTAAGTAAACGTAGTCTTAGAAGCAGGTGGATTTATTGACGTTGTTGATGGTTGCAGGTGAGAGCACAGAGCCGGGATAAGCAGATAGAAGAAAGGATGCTGTCTCACAGGCAAGATGACAACAACAGGCATGCAACCAGGCACCAGGTATGGGCCTTGTTAAAGCTCTGGCCACTCATAGTTTGAGGTCCGTTTCTTGGATCTCCTCTATAATTGTCTTCAGGCATGTCTATGCCTCATTTCCTGTGATATGTCTTCCAGATGTACTTAGAATCACGTTTCTTTTTCAAACAGTAAATTTTCATAAAACACTTCTACCTCATGAAGGAATCATGCTATCTGTAGTAATAGTAGTAGTACTAGTAGTAGTAGTAGTAGTAGTAGTAGTAGTAGTAGTAGTAGTAGTAGAAGAAGAAAATTCTGATTATTCAAAAGATTACACTTGCTGCTTCATTTCCTCACTTGGCATCCTTTAAGACTATTGTAGCTTGCTTTCAAACCTCTCCACTCTGCTAGCACCTTTCCAAGGCCACCAGTGACTTTTCCCCAGCATTTGACACTCGCTGACTATGTTATTTTTCTTGTACTTGTCTCTTCCCTTGGTTTGTAGGGAGCATCCTGGCTTGGTCCTAATCCTCCTCCTGCCTCTCTGAACATTCCTGCCACATTGGTTGCACTTAATTTCTTGTTCTTCCCTAAATGCCTTTGGTCTTCACTCTTGCTGTTTTCCTGCCTGGAACACTATACCTGTACGGAGAAGAGATTGTATTTTCCTTCAAGGCCTGTGCAGTTCTCAGCTGTTGCAGGAATTTTTCCCAAATTCTCTCCCACCGTTAATGAATTTCTTCCTTATGTATTACCATTGTAGCGCTCTCAAAATATGCCTTTGCGTCTTTGTGACATACTGTATTTTGTTCATCATTTAGGTGTCTGTTTTTGCAGTTAGATTAGGTGGATAGCAGAGATGTATGGTGATAAGGAAGAAGTTTGGCTTTGGAGCCAAACAGATGTGAATTTGAATACTCATTAACTCTAGCTATGTTGTCCTGGGCAGGTCAGCTAACCTATTTCTTTGTTAAGAAGAAGAGGTGAATAATGCCTTCCTGGCAGGGGAGTCAGCTAAATTATGTATGTAAAGCACCTCTACTCAGTGCTTGGCAGGTAAAAAGCACTCCATAAGTGGTAACTACACTTTTCTTCATTGTCTATCTTGGGTGTTATTTTATTTTATTTAATTAATTAATTTATTTTTTAAACAGAGTTTTCACTCTTTTTGTCCAGGCTGGAGTGCAATGGCGCGATCTCGGCTCACTGCAACCTCCGTCTCCCGGGTTCAAGAGATTCTCTTGCCTCAGTCTCCCAAGTAGCCAGGATTACAGGGGCACACCACCACGCCCAGCTAATTTTGTATTTTTAGTAGAGACAGGGTTTCACCATGTTGGCCAGGCTGGTCTTAAACTCCTGACCTCCAGTAATCCACCCACCTTGGCCTCCCAAAGTGCTGGGTTTATAGGCGTGAGCCACCGTGCCCAGCCTTGAGTTTTATTCTTACTCAGTTTTTCTATTTAAATGAATATATATAAATGAATTTTTGTACCACTGTTGATCAGATCAATAAGCATTAATTGGAAAACAGTTCTTGTTGCTTTGGTGGAGACATCCATCCTTAGTTTATGTTAATAGTAAAATAAGTTTGTACTCCTGAACCTGTATTTAACTGACAGTAAAGGTGGTGGGGTGATGATTACCTGATTTGGAATTTTTAAATTGCCATATTCATGAAAAAATTAGCTGGGCATGGTGGTATACACCTGTAGTCCCAGTTACTTGGAAGGCTGAGACAGGAGGATGGCTTGAGCTCAGGAGGTAGAGGTTGCAGTGAGCCATGATTGTGCCGCTGCAGTTCAGCCTAGGCGACAGAGCGAGACCCTGCCTCAAAAATAATACAAATGAATAAAATAAAATTGCCATATGATTTGCAGTGTGGCTAGAACATTTCTGGCGTTTTTTTCTCTTTACATTTAAAAAAATGTTTTGGTACCTTCTTTTTTTTTTGTTTTTAAGACAGAGTCTTGCTCTGTCTCCCAGGCTGGAATGCAGAGGCGTGATTGGCTCACTGCAACCTCTGCCTCCCAGGTTCAGGTGATTCTCCCGCCCTCAGCCTCCCGAGTAGCTGGGATTACAGAAGCACACCACCACGCCTGGCTAATTTTTGTATTTTTAGTAGAGACGAGAATTCACCATGTTGGCCAGGCTGGTCTTGAACTCCTGATCTCAGGTGGTTGGCCCGCCTTGGCCTCCCAAAGTGTTGAGATTACAGGCGTGAGCCCCGAAGTGTTGAGATTACAGGCGTGAGCCACCTGGTTGGCCCGCCTTGGCCTCCCAAAGTGTTGAGATTACAGGTGTGAGCCACCGTGCTGGACCTTGGCACTTTCATTTTGAAGCTTAGCTTTATAAGCAGTTTTCTCTCAGTTTTCTCCTTTTTCCTTTTAGGCACCAACGGAGAGGCAGCTTCGATACAAGGAAAAAGTGGCTGAACTCAGGAAGAAAAGAAATTCTGGACTGAGCAAAGAACAGAAAGAGAAATATATGGTGAGGAAAAGTTAAATATTTAATGAGCATGAACTCCTGCTATCACATTTGATTCCTTTTGCTTTCTGAGCTTATGCCTTTCAGATTTGCCATTTAGTATGCTCTACATGTGAATACTAAGTGACTCTTCTATGGCACTTAGAGTTTATTTCATCCCCTAAAACTGAGTTGTTGAGAGTGGAAACAGGAGGTCTTGGGAAAATGAAATACCATTAGAATTTAGATTTAAAAAAATTTGATCCTCTGGTTGTTCATAAATTTTACTTTCATCTTAAAGGGTTAAATTTACCCACTAGAACACATGCCATGGCACTGGAAACTTATGTATGAAGAAAAATAGTCAACCTTAATAGTAGGCTGCTTATTTTAATGGAAAAATAGATTTCCTCCATGATTAAAAGGTATTAATCGGGTGAATATTCTATAATAGATATTCTTGTAGTATTTTAACATTTTTTTCTAATTTTAGAAGTAATTATCTTACATTTGTAAGATAATTTAGAGTGATTAAGCAAAGTATATGGAAGAAAACAAGTCCTACCACCTAAAAATAGCCACAGTTAGTGTTTTTGGATATATCCTAGCTTTTTCACAATCCCTTATTTATGTAATTGCCTCCTTACTGTATGTAGCACTTTGAATTCTGTCTTTTCACTTAAACATCTTTTTTTTTTTTTTTTTTTTTTTTTGAGACTGAGTTTCACTCTGTCAGCCAGGCTGGAGTGCAGTGGCATGATCTCAGCTCACTGCCACCTCTGCCTCCTGGGCTCAAACAATTCTCCTGCCTCTGCCTCCCGAGTAGCTGGGATTACAGGCATGTGCCACCATGCCTGGCTAATTTTTGTATTTTTAGTAGAGACAGGGTTTCACCATGTTGGCCAGACTGGTTTCGAACTCCTGACCTCAGGTAATCTGCCTGCCTCAGCCTCCCAGAGTGTTGGGATTACAGGTGTGAGCCACCATGCCTGGCCTTAAACATCTTTTTTTAGGAAAATATTTTATTATAAATGTATTAATACATGCTTACTACTGAAAATACCAAAAATATAGAGAAGAAACATTCCAATAAAAAAAAATTGTCCTTCAAGATACAAACCACTGCTTAACATTTTTCTTTTTTTTTTTTCTTTTTTTTTTTGAGATAGAGTCTTGCTCTGTCACCCAGGCTGGAGTGCAGTGGTGCAGTCTTGGCTCACTGCAGCCTCCGCCTCCCGGGTTCAAGCAATTCTCTGCCTCAGCCTCCCAAGTAGCTGGGACTACAGGCACCCGCCACCACTCCTGGCTAAGTTTTGTATTTTTGGTAGACACGGGGTTTCACCATGTTGGCCAGACTGGTCTTGAACTCCTGACCTCGTGATCCACCCACCTCGGCCTCCCAAAGTGCTGGGATTACAGGCGTGAGCAACTGTGCCTAGCCTTTTTTTTTTTTTTTTTTTTTTTTTTTAGTATTTATTTATTTTAAATTTTAGATAAGGGGGTACATGTACAGGTTTGTTACATGCATGTGTTGTGTGATGCTAAGATTTAGGCTTCTATTGATCTTATCCTGTCACCCAAGTAGTGAACATAGCCCCTGATAGGTAGTTTTTCGACCTTTGCCTGCCACCCCACTTTTGGAATCCTCGGTGTTTATTGTTCCCTTCTTTGTGTGCCTCTGTACCCAGTGGTTAGCTCCCACTTATAAGTGAGAACATGCTGTGTTTGGTTTTCTGTTTTTGTGTTAATTTGCTTAAGATAATGGCCTCCAGCTGCATCCATGTTGCTGCAAAGGACATGATTTCATCTTTTTTATGGCTGTTCTTTTAGGTTTTTTCTGACATTTTAGTTTTTTTCACAGAATTGGAATGTTTTCTTATTTAGCCATTAGAATAGATTCTTAAACGTAGGGCATGTGAATACTTACTCAGGGCATGGCTTCACTAAGACAAAAATATGCCAGACTATGTATAGTTGACCCTTTGTATCCATGGATTTTGTTCCTGTGGATTCAGCCAACCACAGATCGGAAATAATTGGGGAAAAAAATGTGCGTTTGTACTGAACATGTACAGACTTTTTCTTGTCATTATTTCTGAAATAGTACAGTATAACAGCTATTACATGGCGTTGACATCACATAAGTAATCTAGAGATTAATTAAAGTATACTGCTGGATGTGCCCTGGTTATATGCAAATATGACATCATTTACATATGAGACTTGAGCATCCATGGATTTTGTTATATGCAGGAAGGTTGGGGGGCGTTCCTGGACCTCTTCCCCCAGGGATATCAAGAGATGACTGTATTTACTTTTTTTTTTTTTTTTTTTTGAGACAGAGTCTCACTCTGTCACCTAGGCTGGAGTGCAGCAGTGGTGCAGTCGCAGCTCACTACAACCTCTGCCTCCCAGGTTCTGGGTTCAAGCAATTCGCTTGCTTCAGCCTCCCAAGTAGCTGGAGTAATAGGCATGGGCCACCACACCCAGCTGATTTTTGTAATTTTAGTAGAGACAGGGTTTTGCCATGTTGCCCAGGCTGGTCTCAAACTCCTGACCTCAAGTGATTTGCCCATCTTGGCCTCCCAAGGTGCTAGGATTAGAGGTGAGCACCTGGCCTATATTTACTTTTTTGACAGTCATCACTGTCTTAAATGATAATTTGACGAATAAGTGGACGTAGGCCAATGTGAGATGGGTTGTGGGGTGAATTTGTAGTTAGACCTTTACACCAGACTGTTGGTTTGTAGAGTGAGGGCTTTAGTAGTGGGCTGTAGGGTACCAGGTTGTTTGCTTGCCCCAGTCTTGCTCACTGTTTCTCTCTGCAAACTGGTTAGAAGAGTAATAAGACAATGATAGCATATATTGAGTGATTAGTGCTAGGCACTGTGGTTGTGATGTTCCTTTGATCTTTTAACAGTCCAGTATGATTGGTAGTATTTCCTGTATTTTATATACAGGAAAACTGAGACTGAGAGAGGTAAGTTGCCCAAAATCATACAGGTAGAAAGAGTGTCTGAAGTAAAAGTTCCTGAAATTTTTAACCTTAACAAACATCTGCTCTGCTTTTCAGTAATTTGGGATAGGTTAGTAGGACCCAACCTCCTTGATTAAAATGCTGGCTAGGATTTTTTTCAAGCCTTTTTTTTTTTTTTTTCCCGGTGTTCCTCAAAATAGAAGAAATAACTAATGCTTAGAACCCAAATCTTAGATGATAAGTGTCCAAATTTAAAAAGATTTACAGCAGATGGAATCAGATTAACCAGAAGAAATTTTAATAGGGATAAAGATACTGATGAGTGGTGTCTTCATATGCTAATATGTGTGTGAAATCTATAATATTTTCCTGGGATAAGCCGTCCACTCCACTTAACTACTATTATCTCCTATTCTCTGGATGGGAGGTGGAGCCTAGAACAGAGTGGGAAGGGCTAAAATCAAAGGCTTAAAAGGGAAGTTTCCTTTGTAGAATCTCCTTCCTGGAAAGGATTCTTGTAGTGACTGCCATGGTAAGATTGGGAAATTATTTTGAGACTGGATTATTTTCACGCTTTTAATTTTCTATGGCTTTTCCCTGTCTTATTCTTGCTTAATATTTAGTAAGGCATTTTTTGGAGTCCAGCCTATTTTTCCTGAGCATGTGGACTGGAGTTTGAGGGTAGCACGCCTTTTGCAGACAGTGTAATGGTGGCTGGAGCAATTCAAGTGAAAGAAGTTACAAAGGACTACTTCATCCAGCTGCCCCTGTCCCTCCCTTCCTGCAGATTTTCTTTTGAGTCTAAAATCTTAGACACTAAGGCTTAGAGAATCTGGTTTTTGTGTGTTTTGTTTTTAAATCCGGGAGTATCCACCAAAGCTCCTTCCACATCTCGGGATTTTGGGAATTTGTAGTGTCTCTGGGTTTGCTGTACTTTATTTATTTGTACTGTCATGCACATTTTTACATGAAGGAATGGAGGCATAGAGTTCTGATCCACGAAGAAATAGAGTGAAGCTCCCTTCTGGAGGTGTGGGAGCATTTCCTTTCCAGATTCACTGGGGTGGGTAGTGGGAGTGTTGTGGCATTAATCTGATGAGTAGTATGTCTTGTGCTCAATGCCTAGCACCTAGTATGTAGGCACTAAATAAATAGCTTATGGTTGTGTGGTTTGCATGGATTGAAGTGAAATAGATTAAAAAGTTCTTAGAAGCAGAGAGTATCAGAGTGTCATGCTCTGGTTATTTTCCTAGGAACACAGACAGACCTATGGGAACACACGGGAACCTCTCTTAGAAAACCTGACAAGTGAGTATGACTTGGATCTTTTCCGAAGAGCACAAGCCCGGGCTTCAGAGGATTTGGTGAGTATTAAAACCTCCAAACTGAAGACCACTTGTGAAAGGTGCTTAGAATTGCCAAGAAAAATGATTGCAAATCAGTTTGGTGGGAATTAAATGTACCTTGCTTCTTGAATCTCTTTCCCTCTCTTCCCAGCTGTCCCTTTTTGGAGACTAGCCTTTCCCTTTCAGATTTAAAACAAATCACCCCTCCTCCCTTCCTTTTTTTATTCCCTTCTTTCCACCTCAGCTCCCGGAAGTACCAGTTTGGCTAGAGCTGATGAGGCTGGATAAAACTATAGGCTCCCCTTTGTCTCAGCTGGGCAATTTGCAATTCTGAGAACCTGTAGCCTAGGAGAGACTCATCTCTGTTGTTTTCTTAATCCCAACAGGAACTCCCCTTTTGCTAGGTTTCCTCTGCACTAAGAATGAAAATAATAGTGAAGGGGAATAATGGAAAAGGCTGTTTGTCAGATGTTTTAGAATTAATCTTTGACACAGTCAAGTTTGATACATTGGTTTTCCATTCTGATATTTATTTAGAGCTAGTTTATACTGAGTTGCTGTCCTAGGCGGAATTTTTAACAACTTTGCTTGAAGAAAATTCTGGTGATTGAGTTTACCTCTGATATAACAGATTAAGTGTTCAGGGAAGCTCAGTTTTTAAAGTGAATCTCATCTTCACCCCCTTCCCCCTTGTATTAAAAAAAAATTGTATCAAATAATAGACTTGTTGAAAACTGGGCGGAGGCAGGGTTTGCTGGCTACCCTTGGCTGGAATGGGCAGTTCCTACTGCTAGTTTTCTCTATCCTGTTTTGTCATGGAGCATTTCTGAGCTAGCGTTTCACAACTTTACACCTGGTTATACTTACAAATTATAATACTTTTGTAGCCAACTCAGAGTCACTGAATTTTCTTTTTTTTTTTTGTCTGAGACAGAGTTTTGCTCTGTTGCCCAAACTGGAGTGCAGTGGTGCCATCATGACTCACTGCAGTCTCGACCTCCAGTGCTCAAGCGATTCTCCCACGTCAGCCTCCTGAGTAGCTGGGACTATAGGCATGCCACTACACCCAGCCCAGAAATATTTTCTGCCTTCTGGAGTTTAGATTCTAGAAGTATCATGCACATTTCAAAAATATTTTTTAAAAGGCCTACTTTTTTTTCTAAGTGAGCATTGTGGATATATGTCACAGAGATTCATATAGCTTTATAAAAGTTTCTGCAGATAAGGCGGATTCTAAATCAACTTTTCTGTTTAGTTTTAGAATACTTTCTAAGGGTGGGCAGTTTGTATCTGTGATGATTTTCTTTATAATTCAGTTTGGTCTAGGCTGATAATAATGAAGTTTCCAAGGTCTCATTCTGGTGAGGCCCAGAATGTGGGAGGTAGCAGAGAAACCCCTCTTTTGAGACCTGTGCTCTGAGCAGTATGGGCAGTAAGTTTTCTGTATGCCTGCCTGATTTTTCATGTAGCTCTCTTTAATGTAAATTCTCATGGGTAGAAGCCAAATCTGTCTGATTTTTTCTATAGCCTAGCATGGTGGCATGCACACACGCTTTTAGAAACAAGACAATATTTATTTTTTTAAAACGGAGTCTCGCTCTGTCTCCCAGGCTGGAAGTGTGGTAGTGCGATCTCGGTTCACTGCAGCCTCTGCCTCTTGGGTTCAAGTGATTCTTCTGCCTCAGCCTTCCAAGTAGCTGGGATTACAGTTGTTTGCCACCACACCTGGCTAATTGTTGTATTTTTAGTAGAGATGGGGTTTTGCCATTTCGGCCAGGCTGGTCTCGAACTCCTGGCCTTAAGAGATCTGCCTGCCTCAGCCTCCCAAAGTGTTGGGATTACAGGATCCATTGTGTCCTGCCTGAAAGCAAATATAATAAATTCTAATCCTCCTTTGACTTTTGATTTCTTGGCAATAGGAGAAATTAAGGCTGCAAGGCCAAATCACAGAGGGAAGCAACATGATTAAAACAATTGCTTTTGGCCGCTATGAGCTTGATACTTGGTACCATTCTCCATATCCTGAAGAATATGCACGGCTGGGACGTCTCTATATGTGTGAATTCTGTTTAAAATATATGAAGAGCCAAACGATACTCCGCCGGCACATGGTGAGTTGTCTTGGGTTCCTCTGCCTTGACCATGATGGCAATAAGCTGTAGGATCTCTAGATTTTGCCGTAGTGATTGCCTCTATTCAGGCACCTTCTCAGTGGTCCTCAGCAGTGGGGTGAAGGCATAGGAAATGGAAGGCCACAGCTTAAGATGGGGTGTAGAGCCTGAGGCATGGCTTGTGCTGGGTGCCACCCAAAGCAGCTGAGGGCCCTTACCCACATCCTGTCATGTACGTCTTCCTGTCTTTTGTTCTTACTGCCTACTCCTCTTCATTTCCTCCTTGGAATATGAATTACCTCTGCCCACAGGTTTTGTGTGTCCCAAACTAGATGAAAATACAGACTTCATTAGGCAGAGCAGGGACAGCATGGCTCACCTTCATATCCCCAGCAACTAGTGTGGACAACTGATGCCCAGGAAATATATGTTGAATGGGTACACTTACTAATATGTAAGAGTGATCAGCCTGTGACAGATTATGAAAGTAGCAGAATGGGTCCTTTGGTGCCTTCCTCTCTTTTTCCTAATAAAGCAGGTATAAGGAGTTGAATCTGTTATTGTTGACAAATTTGTTTACTAGATTTTTTGCAGCTTCAAAAAAAAAAAGCCATTTCCCCCACTCCCTCTGTTATGAAATAAGAAGTTTTGTCTTAAGGGGAATTTCTGCCATGGAGCAAGGGAAGGAGTAGAGATTAGATTAGCCTTTCAGGCAGATAAGCCTTTTTCTTGTTTTTTTGTTTTTTGTTTTTTGGGTTTTTTTTTTTTTGAGACGGAGTCTTGCTGTGTTGCCCAGGCTGGAGTGCAGTGGCGCGATCTCGGCTCACTGCAACCTCCGCCTCCCGGGTTAAAATGATTCTCCTACCTCAGCCTCCTGAGTAGCTGGGACTACAGGTGCACACCACCACACCAGGCTAAGTTTTGTATTTTTAGTAGAGACGGGGTTTCACCATGTTGGCCAGGATGGTCTTGATCTCCTGACCTCATGATACACCCGCCTCAGCTTCCCAAAGTGCTAGGATTACAGGCATGAGCCACCGTGCCCAGCCCTTGTTCTCATAATCACAATATAGTTTGGCTCTAAGGCCTCGGGGGTGTCTCTTTTTCCTTCCCCTTCCTTTTTTATTTCCCAGGATTTCCATATGCTGAGCATCTATGACCCAGTCTTCCTGTGATTTCTGTCATTATACTCTTCTCCCCAGTTTGGTTGGTGATACTGCTTTTTTATGTTCCCAGTTCAGGAGCATGTGGTCTGCAGGTTCAGGGCCCAGAACTGTTGCTTTGACTCAGGTTCTGCAGGCCCTGGCACACTTGACTGCATGGGTCTAGAGTCATGGAGGGGAGGTGATTGGCGGGGATTGGTAGAGATACCAGTGTACAGGGAATGATGGGATCAGAAGGAGGGGCACTGACACAGATGGCAGTTCATGGAGATAAAGTAAAATGGTTTTACTATGTAAAAGCAGGTATTTTTATGGATGTGTACTGCTTACCATTTATGCCTTTTTTCCTTTTTGTTTCTGGTTGTTTAGTGACACTAACTGATGAAATAGCTAAAAGGGCAAGAAACAGTAATAGAAGGAGAAAACAAAGGGTCTGAATAAATCTGAGGATCGAATAAACATTATGAATATTTGAAAATCTTCCATATTATATGATATAAAAATCAGATTTCAGGAAATACCTATTTTATTCCATGCCTGTTCTTATTCGCATTGCTTCAGGTGTGATCACTGAAATGAAATGGTCTTCCTTTGGCTTGGCTTCTGTTTCTAAACGATAATTGTTACATGAGTTTGCTTATTGTTGGGAAGAGCCAGCATGAGTAAAGGGGTAGAGATAGGAACAAACTACAGATGGAATTTTCTTGGAGGGATTCCAGTTAATAAATATTTGGATTTACATATGACAAATTGGAACATGCTTCTTGAGTTGACAAAAAGGGTCGCAGTAAAATTACTTAATAGAAAGTGTTTCATGGGCCAGGTGCGGTGGCTCACACCTGTAATCCCAGCACTTTGGGGAGGCTGAAGTGGGAGGATTGCTTGAGGCCAAGAATTTGAGACCAGCCTGGGTAAAATAGTGAGACTCTGTCGCTTCAAAAACCGTTTTAAAAATTAACCAGGTGTAGTGCCATGTGCCTATAATCTTAGCTACATGGGAGAATCTTTTGTGCCCAGGAGTTTGAGGCTGCAGTGAGCTATGATCGTGCTATTTCAGCCTGGGTGACAGGGTGACACCCTACCTCAAAAAAAAAAGTTCTATGTATCTATACTTTTTAAACACTTTTTTATTTTTTTTGAGACGAAGTCTTGCTCTGTCACTTAGGCTGCAGTGCAGTAGTGCGATGTCGACTCACTACAGCCTCCACCTCCCGGATTCTTTTGCCTCAGCCTCCAGAGTAGCTGAGATTACAGGCTCCCGCCACCACACCTGGCTAATTTTTGTATTTTTAGTAGAGGTGGGGTTTCACCATGTTGTCCAGGCTGCACTCAAACTTCTGACCTCAGGTGATCCACTCACTTCAGCCTCCCAAAGTGCTGGGATTACAGGCGTGAGCCACGCGCCAGGCCTTAAACATTTTAAAATGTAAACCTTTTAAAGAATTCACCTAACAGCAGAATGCAGCTGACTGGCTGCATTAAAACAATTAGCACTTGAGAGTTAGGAAAATGGGGTACTTCATGCCTCCTTGTGGCCAAGTGCCCCTAGCTTCCTGCTGCTCAGCTAGGCTGCTTGCTTTTTTTTTTTTTTTCCTTTTTTTGCCACAGGACTTTCTCTTAATTTCCTTATATAACTAAGGCAATGCAGTTGTTGCAGGGGAGAGGGGCAGACAGGTAGTGGTACATGGTTTTTATCATTGTGAGTGAGTTTTCTAATCTGAACAAAAGAAGACCATAATGGTTAGGTGGTAATGAGAAGTTATGGGTAAAGGTGAGAGTAAAGTACTTAGCCACCCTAAGCTGCTGGAAATAAGCTGCTTAAGAATTTCCTGTTGGCTTGAGGCATAATAAGCAAGGGTATTGTTATTTAGTTGACCTTTATGTAGTGGGTGATTTTAATCTCCTGGGCTAAAGCAGTGCCAGAATGTAATCCAGAGTACTTGTTCCAGATTGCTATAGAAGAGTCATAAATATATTCAAATGATTTTGGAAGTCTTTATTTTATGGAAAAAAAATCTGTGTTTTACTGTATGTTCTCAACTTGTCCAACTGTCCTGTAGCTCAGTTAATCACATTTGACCTGTCATTCCTTTTCCCTTTTGAGGAGCAGTCTTGTTGGGAGGCTTTGGTTCCCTGATGTGAATTTCATTGTCTCGCAGGCCAAATGTGTGTGGAAACACCCACCTGGTGATGAGATATATCGCAAAGGTTCAATCTCTGTGTTTGAAGTGGATGGCAAGAAAAACAAGGTAAAAAGTGGTGACTTTAGAAAGGAGTTGTAATGTTGGATATTCACAGGTTTGAGAAGGCATGTGTTTTTTCTCCATCATACCTTGTGAAGGACATAGAACTCTTCTTTTGCCAAAATACACAATATGTTTCATTAATAATTATAGTATGTTTGTGAATTTTAGGCCTTTATCTGTTTAGGAATCAGTGGCCCACACATGAACTCTGTTTCTCTGCTTCCAGATCTACTGCCAAAACCTGTGCCTGTTGGCCAAACTTTTTCTGGACCATAAGACATTATATTATGATGTGGAACCCTTCCTGTTCTATGTTATGACAGAGGCAGACAACACTGGCTGTCACCTGATTGGATATTTTTCCAAGGTAAGCAGGATCTGGAGATTAAGAAGCCACTGGCCAGAGCAGGGTGATCCATGTTCGCAGCTGGGGCCTCAAATCACCGACAGGAAGAAGCCGCACTCTGGGCAATGATGACACCCCTTCCTTAAATTTAAAAAAAAAAAAAAAAAAAGGGCAAACCCATGTATCAAAGATTGTTTAATGAAAATGCAGTTTTTATTAAAAGCTTCTGGTTAATTCTTTTCTGGAATTGTGGACTGGAGCTGCCTATTAATAACTGGCCAGAGCCCTCCCTAGTAACTCACAAGCCAACATCTTGTAGTCAAGCCAACTCTCCTGGCTTTGCCTGCCTCTGTGTTATCAGCTTAAAACCAGGAATATACTCCTTTTGCCTGATTGTTTAGCTGGGCTCCTAGCACAGTCCCTTCAGTGATAACACTACTGCACCTTTTAAAGACCCAAGGCCGGATTTTTTTTTTTTTTTTTTTTTTTGGAGACAGTCTCACTCTTGCCCAGGCTGGAATACAGAGGTGTGATCTTGACTTACTGTACCCTCTGCCTTCTGGGTTCAAGTGACCCTCCTGCCTCAGCCTCCTGAGCAGATGGGATAACAGGCGCCTGCCACCACGCCCAGCGAATTTTTTGTGTGATTTTAGTAGAGATGGTGTTTTATACCATGTTGGCCAGGATGGTCTTGAACTCCTGACCTCAAGTGACCACTCGCCTTAGCCTCCCAAAGTGCTGGGATTACAGGTGTGAGCCATTGTGCCTGGCTCAAGGCCAGATTTTATGACTTTTAGTATAACAACTTTATTGAAATATAATTCATACACCATAAATTCACACACTGAAAGGGTACAATTTAGTTGTTTATAGTGTATTCACAGAGTTGTGCAATCAATCCAGTTTGCATTATCCTGAAAAGAAATTGTTAGCAATCACTTCTTTTTCCACTCAATCCCTCTCAGCCCTCTGTCTGTACAAATTTCCCAATTCTGGACACTTCCTGCAACTGGAATCACACATTTTGATTTCATTCGATTTGATTTTTTTTTTTTAATCCTTTTGCAGAATGGAGACTTACTGTGTTGTTTCCTTCCCTTCTCTTCCAGTAGGCAGCTCCTTTTCAAAAATTGCATTTAAAGTGGGCTTCTGTATACTGAGTCAGCAGCCTTAACCTTCTTGCCCTGCTCTGTGGCTGTCAGGAACCCAGAGTCAGCCCCCTTAAAATGAGACTGGAGGTCTCAGCTAGGGAAATCCTGGGATGATTAATGGCTTTGGCCATTATAAGGGGTGTGGTTATAACAGCTGTGAGCCTGACAGCCACTCCTTGGTACTGGTTACCCAGATGTTTTGCAAGCAGTCTTATTTTGTATCTGTGGAAGTGCTGAAACCTTTGGTTTCAAATCCTCGTGACGTGTTCATCTGTTTGCTCTTGATTTTAGGAAAAGAATTCATTCCTCAACTACAACGTATCCTGTATCCTTACTATGCCTCAGTACATGAGACAGGGCTATGGCAAGATGCTTATTGATTTCAGTAAGTGAAACTGCTAAGTCATTAGTTCCACAAGGCAGGGACCATGTGAATATTGCTGTTTGTCTTTTTGTCTTGTGGTCTCTGCAATTCCTGAAATGTAGTGGAGGTACATGGATATTTAGTAAATGGATGAACAAGTAGGAAAAACCTGAGCATTGTCATTGTGCCTGATACACATTGACCATTGAAGGGATACAGGACTTCTCCTTAATGAGTAGGAAGTACAGAGGATGATAAAGTGAGCTCTTTCATATTATCCCAGTTTGAGACTTTTAAACAGCACATACATGCATGAGGCTTAAAATCTGTTCCTTGATGCTAGGGATTTCACTTTTGTAGGGACTTGTCTAGAAGTAATCCATGTACCCAATGGACCCTTTGCATAATATACTCTGCCCTCATTAATTGTGGATTCTGTGTTTGTGAATTTGCTTACTCACTAAGTTTTATTTGTAACCCCAAAATCAATCTTAACATTTTTGTGGTCATTCGTGAACATGCACAGAGCAGCAAAAAATAAGAGTCATGGATGCACGCATTCCCAGCTGACTTCAGAGTTTTCAGCTCTTATACTGTAAACAAGTTCATTTTCAGTCTGAATGCCACACGGTTTTGGCCTTCTGTTGATTTTAAATGGCCCCTGTGAGTAGTGCTGATGTGTCTGGTGTTCCTAATCTCAGGAATCCTGGGGTACCTTACACTAATCTCAGGAATCCTGGGGGGATACCTTACACTAATCTCCGGAATCCCGGGGTACCTTACAGAGGTTAGATGGCTTTCTTCAGGTGAATTAGAGAGTTGCTGGCAGTGAGTTCAATGTTAGTGATGTCAACAGTGTATATTAAATAAGGCATTTTTAAACAGAAACATAAAATAAGGTTATGTATTGATGGTTGACCAATGTGTGACCAGAGGCTTGCAGGAACCTAACCCTCCCTGTATTTCTCCTAGTAGCAGTGGTTCAGTATTCACTAATTCAGGTTCTCAGTGACTTTATGAAACATAACTGCTGTGAAAAACAAGACTCCACTGTGTGTTATTCTCTATTTGATGTCCACTGTCAAAGGACAGGGTATATTGTAATCAAAATTGGAATTCCTAGAATTAGCCTTCCAAGCCTTCTTTCTTTCTTTCTTTCTTTTTTTTTTTTTTTTTGAGACGGAGTTTTGCTCTTATTGTCCAGGCTGGAACGCCATGGCGTGATCTTGGCTCATTGCAACCTCCATCTCCCAGGTTCAAGCGATTCTCCTGCCTCAGCCTCCCGAGTAGCTGGGATTACAGGCATGTGCCACCACGCCTGGCTAATTTTGTGTTTTTTTAGTAGAGATGGGGTTTCTCCATGTTGGTCAGGCTGGTCTCGAACTCCCGACCTCAGGTGGTCCGCCCACCTTGGCCTCCCAGAGTAGCTGGAATTACAGGTGTGAGCTACCTTGCCCAGCCACCTTTTTTCATTTTTAAGTCACCTGAGAAGAGATGAACTGGAAAGTGACATAAGAGGGGAACTATATATCTTTGAATAGGTAACACTGTTCGTATAAACTTGATTTTATAGGAAGTTTTAAGCATTAACAAAAGTATAATAAACCCTCCTATACCCATCACCCAACTTCAATAATTACTGTTTTTTGGGGGTGGGGGGGGGCTAACCTTGTTTTACCTATACTTTCACCTGCCATTATTTTGATATTTCTAAAAAATAAGGTCTATTACACCTTAAAAAAAAAAAAGTCCTTCATATCATAAATTGTGATACTCAAATTTCCCTGGTGTGATTTTGTTCTTTTTAAAAAACTTTTTTTTAATACTTAGATCCAGGTAAAATTGATAGTGAGATTGAGAAGTATGGCTCATAATTTACTTTCAGTCTAAAATTTTCCAGTCCCATCTTTTTTTTCCTTGCTGTGTTTTTGTTGAAGAAAGGAGGTTAGTTGTCTAAAAGGGTTACCCACATTATGAACTTTGCAGACTGCATCTCCATAATGTTGTTTTGTATATTTTGTATAAATTGAATGTTAGGTGTTTAGACTTTACAACTAGAGGCTTCATCATTTGGGTTTTTTACACCCGTCCCCTACTATCTCATAGGTGGTACTGAGCTAATCTCTTCTTACCATTCAAAGATTTCAAAAATATTTTAAAACTAGGGAATGAAGTGGCTTCACATTTTTTTCCTGTCTCCCTTGTTTCCAACACACATCTATAGAGAACCATTGCTATCAAAATGATTAATAGTGAAGCCTTCCAGAGTTCTTTTAGTGCCTATTACAGTAGTGCCCTCCTTATCTGCCATTTCACTTTCTGCAGTTTCAATTACCTGTAGTCAACTGCGGTCCCAAAATAGGTGAGTACAGTACAATAAGATATTTTGAGAGACAGACACCCTTCACATAACTTTTATTACAGTATATTGTTATAATGGTTCTGTTTTACTATTACTGTCTTCCTGTTCCTAATTTATAAGTTAAACTATAGCATAGGTATGTGTTGATAGGAAAATACATAGTATATATAGGATTTGGTACTATCCACAGTTTTGGGCCTCCACTGGGAGTCTTGGAACACATTCCCTGGAATAAGAGGGGACTGTGCTTCTTAAACCTTCTTGCATGTTGGCACACTGTTTTTTGCTATTCGGATAAGATCTAGTGCTGCTAGAAAAAGTCTGTATTTGTTCCCTGGCAGGTTATTTGCTTTCCAAAGTCGAAGAAAAAGTTGGCTCCCCAGAACGTCCACTCTCAGATCTGGGGCTTATAAGCTATCGCAGTTACTGGAAAGAAGTACTTCTCCGCTACCTGCATAATTTCCAAGGCAAAGAGATTTCTATCAAAGGTTGGTTTTTGACTCCTTGGAATGGTTGATTGTTGCCCAAGAAGTTAACTTTACTGGGTATTGTGTTTCCCCTGAATATGAGAAAAGAAGGCCAACTGAAAATGGACCACTGCAGAGACCCTCACTAAAGTTGCCTAGGAATCCAAAGCATTTGGCCCCTGGCCAAATTATTAATTGGCTTCTCAAATCCAGAGTTGCTAACACTAATTCTTGTAAAAGTCAAGAAGAAAAACTTCAGGTCTTTTGGTTCATCTTTCTGAGAAAGACGTCCCTGTGTATTTATACAGGGGTGGAACAATTTAGTTTGATCTATATTTGACCCTGATTTCTAAGGGGCCAAGAATAGCTTCTTGCTGTAATATCCTTCTGTAGTTATTTGGACTGGTCAAATGAATACTTTGTAAACTCCTCCTAAACAGATTGGGTTGAGTACAGAAGATTCTGTCCATTTGGATTTCCTTTAAGGGAAAGTAGACCTTGGTTGGGGGCAAAGGGGTGGGAACCTGCACTTTGGTCAGGTTGTCAGTACCTCTTCTGTTTCAGAAATCAGTCAGGAGACGGCTGTGAATCCTGTGGACATTGTCAGCACTCTACAAGCCCTTCAGATGCTCAAGTACTGGAAGGGAAAACACTTAGTTTTAAAGAGACAGGTAAGGTTTTCATCAGCAGCTTGCTCATTGCTGGATGTGCTTCAAGGCTTAGCAGAGCAAAGTAGGGGCCTTAAGACTCAAGAGAACCTTCCCTTAAAGGAGTTTGGCTACATGCCCCTTTTACTGGGTCTCGTTTCTATAGCTGGCAGTGATGCCTGCATTGCCTTATCTGTATCTGAAGGTTTTGGTAAGCTCCTGTCTCAAATTTGGATGACACAAGTTAAGCAGCTCCAGTTAAGCAGCTTTATGTTGTACAGCACTTCTGTCATTTGATGATTTTCTTACATGGGAGGAAATTGTCCATCTGTAGAGGAATCTTCACAAACGCTGTCTCAACTCATACTCACTTCTATTTTTTAAAATTGTTTCATACATACAATAAAGGTAGGTGAGTGATGATTTTCATTTCTCACTGAGGGTAAAGTAGGAAGAATGGATTAGATAGAAAAGTCGTTTATAAGTCAAAAGATAGTATTTTTTTATACCCTAATATGTTGTTAAACCTTTGGCAATTCCTTCTTGGCGGTTAGTTATTTTGGAATCTATGTAAAGGCATTTGAGTTGAAAGTATATAATCCTTTTTCCCATTGTTCTCCCCTAGGACCTGATTGATGAGTGGATAGCCAAAGAGGCCAAAAGGTCCAACTCCAATAAAACCATGGATCCCAGCTGCTTAAAATGGACCCCTCCCAAGGGCACTTAAAGTGACCTGTCATTCCGAGCCAGCGAACCCCAGCAGTAGGAATCCGTACCCTAGGGATCTGTCTGTCATTTCTGTTGCTCTTGTGATTGGCAAGTACAGTATCCTTTGGGAAGGCCATCCCCCTCAGGACTGTCCTGGCTCCGACCTTTGTGTACACTGCAGACGCTGGTTCTGAGGAACTGTTGTTTCGGCCTCAGTGAGGTTGCCTGGATGGGATCTGTATTAGACTTGAGTGCAGGTCTCTCAGCACTGACCCAAGGAGTTCTGTTATGGTACTGTACCTGTCCAGTCACTGGTTCTCTCCTCATGTCCTCTCGCCCCATGAGGTTGTGTTGTGTCTTCTAAGCGTGGTACTAGTGCTTGCCGCCTGGTCACCAGACCTCCAAATATGGCTGCCACCACCAGGACCTTTCCAGTTACTCCTTATGTGTGTGTTCTATGGAGGGGCAGGGAAGAGGTGGCACTTGTGAGTGTGTGTGGATTGGCAGGGGATGCATTCACTTTGGGTTTCATCTTGCTTTAAATTTCTTTCCTTCATTTTGATTAAGAGACTTCTTTTTGATCTGTATTGGGCTTACCAGAGCCAAATACTTTTGAAGAGTTTCCCAGGGACTGGTCTTGGTAATAGCATATAATTGATCTGAATGAGATGGAGAGAAGAATGAAGAAGTGGTAGTTCTGGGTTTGATTTGAGTTCACCTGTGGGCATTGGGGCAGTGTCTTGGTGAAAGGGAGCGGATACTACTTTTTGCCTCACCGTGAAGTACCCACAAGTTAATATTTCCTTCTCTCTTTACTCCCAGTCCCTTTTTACGTTTGCAGGTGCCAAAGTAATGTCCACTTCTCCCTTTCATGCTGCGTGTTAACTGATTAATTATACTGCAGAAATCTTTTCACCTCCACTAGTGTGATACAGTACATCTTTACTTCTGTATACATTGCACTGATTCTGTCTGAGTGCCCTGGGAGAAGTTGAAAATGATTGAAAGTGACTTTCATATCTCAGCTCATGACTCAGCAAGGCAGAATGGCCACCCCTGCCAAGGTTTGCTTCTCTTTTCAACAGTGCCTCACCCTCCCTCTAGGATTAAAGTGCTTCTACCCTTCCACGAACTCCTCCTCCATTTCCTTTTTGGGATTTGTCACCGTCCTTCTATTCTCTGGTCTTCTATTTTTGGTGTTGTTCAAGTGAAGGAAGAGATGTTCCCTCTAATTTCTCTGTAGCCCATTATAACCTGCTATCTTGGGGCAACTTTTGATGTATGACATGTCACCCTTCCCAACTTGGTCTCCTCCAACATGCTGTCTTCATGTGGAGCCCTCACCACAATCCCTGACTCCGGTCATTTGTGCCTTTCTCTTGTCATCTCTGTACACTACTTATATTCACTGTGGGTTGGGGGAGCTAATTTTAAGCATGTTCAGTGGCAGCTCCCCTCCAGTTTCAGTGTCACTGTTAAAATTTATCCAAAATCAACTTCACTAGGGGTTTTCTTAAGGGGTAAAGGCCTTTTACAGAAGCTAAACCCTTCCCCACATGTGGTAGAATGTGCTCTTCTATATCTACTCCTCAATAAAGCATGTTCTCTGCTCAAGTCTGTTTCATCTGGGGGCTCTCATTTATATATGAAAATGATGCACACAATCTGCTACTCATAGTAAACGCACTTAGGATTTGCTTTGCCTAGCAGTACACTGTTGAGGGATGTGGTTTGTGGCTATGGAATGTTTTTCCCTGTGATGCAGGCTGTCTATAAAGATCGAGGGAGTGCTCACGCTGAACTTACCTAGATGGTGGCACAAATTTGATCTGCCTCACTTTGGTTCCAGCTAATCAGTATACATAGCAATGATTAGTCAGTATTACCCATTCTTTCACTAAGTGCCATTTTTCACTGATTTTAGGGGCAAAGGAACCAATAGGAAGTTAGGATATATGGGAGTACAGTTGATGCCTGTGGGAGATGGGAACAGATATCCCTTCTCATTTCCAAGTTCATTCACCAGTATTGAGCAATGTCACGTCTAATTATTGACTACCAGGTTGAAATGATTATTTTTGAAAATAGCTGCATTTTCCTGTAAGATATACCCAGCACAGGAAAAGGGTGGCTGAGCACTTACCTCTGTATAGTGGAAAGAAGGAGGCTGGGAATTGTATGTGCTGGAATGGTTTTGCTCACTGTGGCCAGTAGTGGTGAGAACCTATACAGTTGAAGTTTTTTGCACAGTCCTGATCCCAAGCCTCCACTCGCTTTGCCATCCCACTTTACTCACTGAAAAATAAAAGAATTTATTATCTCATTTAAACCCCCACAAGTGTGGGAACAGACTTCCCTTGGCAATTTTGAGTAAGACTATCCCATTTCACTCCCTCTTTTTTTTTTTTTGAGTCAGAGTCTGGCTGTGTCACCCAGGTTGGAGTGCAGTGGCCGATCTCGACTCACTGTAACCTCCACCTCCCGGGTTCAAGTGGTTCTCCTGTCTCAGCCTTCCGAGTAGCTGGGATTACAGGTGCATGCCACCATGCCCAGCTAATTTTTATATTTTTAGTAGAAACAGGGTTTCGTCATGTTGGCCAGGCTGGTCTCGAACTCCTGACTTCAGGTGATGGCCTCCCAAAGTGCTGGGATTACAGCTGTGAGCCACTGCACCCAGCTTTTAACTCCCTCTTATCTGCATAACAGAAGCTTAGCTGCTTAAGCTCCTTTATTAGAAGAGCAAAAGTCTGAAATTATTACTGAAACCTGCTCAATGGAAGTACCTACTCTTATTTCTGGAGGAAGAGAGCTGTAGCATGGGCTGGTTGCTTCCCATATGGTTGTCACCGTAGCTTCATATTGCCTCATTTGACCCTCATACTAGCCCTGTGCAGTAGATGTGTACACTGGTTTGCCAAAGGAGACCTGGAATCCAAGGTGGAAGTAAGCAGCGAATCCAGAAACTTCAATTCTGGTCTGTCTACCTTGATAGCCCGTACCCTCCCCTCAAACGTTTGCTTCCACAACTTTTTTTGATTCCTTAGTGATGAATCATCCTCTCCCTTCTAGTTGGATTTCTTTGCTATAGGCACCCATGTTTCTAATGGCTTCCATTACAAGGATAATAATGAAACTGGTGAAAACTTTCAGGCAAAGGGATTGATTTTCTTTTTACGTTTTTTTCTTCTTATTATTTTTTAAATTATTAACCAACTCAACTCATTACAGTAAAAAGGACTGATTTTTAAGCCAGCCATGATAGCTCTGTAATAGTCTGTAATCTCAGCACTTTGGGAGGCCAAAGTGGGCAGATTGCTTGAGGCCAGGAATTCGAGACTAGCCTGGGCAGCATGATGAAATCCCAGCTCTACAAAAAATAGAAAAATTAGACGTGGGCATGTGCCTGTAGTCCCAGCTACTCGGGAGGCTGAGGCATGAGAATCACCTGAATCCAGGAGGTAGAGGTTGCAGTGAGTTGAGATGATGCCACTGCACTCCAGCCTGGGTGACAGAATGAGACCCTGTCTCAAAAAAACAAAAAACAGAATTGATTGATGTTAGTTGGCTTTACAAGCAGCAACTTTGGGGGGCTACAGAGCTAAACCAGGAAGCAAAAGATGTACCTCATGCTGGCATTGTTTCTGATTTAGGATAGGAAGCATTGTCCCTTTACTTCTGTGGTTTTCTTCATTCCTCACCACAGCACAGTAAGGTGGATATTATAGCCCTCTGCCAGATGAAAAATTGAGGCTCATAGCGGTCTTGCTGCTGTGTTAGAGCAACAGAATGAGAGAGCCTTGCTTCCCTGAGTCCAAATCCCATACTTTTGGCATTGTTACCATGAGGTCTGGTCATCTGATGCTTCCATGCTATTTTCCCATTTCTTATCTGGGGATAATGAGTCATATTAAGTAATTTTGTTTTGTTTTGTTTTGAAGATGGTGTCTCGCTCTGTCACCCAGGCTAAAGTGCAGTGGCATGATCTTGTCTCATTGCAATCTCTGCCTCCCAGGTTCAAGCGATTCTCCTGCCTCAGCCTCCCAAGTAGCAGGGATTACAGGCGCCCACCACCTCGCCTGGCTAATTTTTATGTTTTTACTAGAAACAAGGTTTTGCCATGTTGGCCGGGCTGGTCTTGAATTCCTGACCTCAGGTGATCCACTCACAGCCTCCCAAAGTGCTGGGATTTCAGGCAGGAGCCACCATGCCCAGCCAAGTAAGTTTTAACAGTGTGGTATAACCTTTAAATGACAAGGTGATGCTTTTGACTTGTCCTCTACTTTGATTTGTCCTGATTTGTCCCTATAGTTCTGAGTGGGTCAAAACAAAGTCTCAGGGGCTGCACCAGGATCAAGCAGCACAGCTCGGCCATGATCCTTTTACCACTTTTTTCTTCTGTGAGACTCTGATTAAAGCACTGGATTTTTAAAAATCACCCTTGTAAATACACACACATTTGTCTATAGTTGAGGAAATTGTGCCTTTGAAGTCCATTCTTGGACGTGGAGTTAGGAGACCCTGGTTTGAGAAAAAGCCCCAGTGAGACAGCAGGAATCCTCTTGCCACACAACCCATCAGCTAGTTCTTAGTGTGCTCAGGCTCAAATAACCAATCCCATCAAGTGAAATGAATGGCAGCAGGGAGAAGGCCTGGGTCACTGAGGCTCTCAGCATTAATTTCCTCTACCTCATGTGTCTCACAGGTGCACATATGTACAGCATATCAAGGTGTTGAATGTCATGAGAATAAAATATGAAAACTGCTTTGCTGAGTGATAGTATGTGATGTGTGCTAGGGCTTCTAGAAGCCACTCTGCTGTTCATTGGGATCATGGAATTGGACCTCAACTGGTTTTGCCTCAGCACTTTCTTCCACAAAATTATGTGTGACTGCCTCCTCCAGACTGTTTCCTGCTGATAGGGGCAGTTTAATAGCCTTCTTCCTGTGTGGTATCTGCAACAAAATCCCAATGAATGTCGCTAAGAAGGAAACAAAGGATTGCCCAGCGATGAGAAATGTCCCTGGTGCCAAAACATCAGTTTGCCCCTAACTTCTTGTGCAATACCTTTAAGTCCAGGTCATGTTGTTACCATTTGGGGGTTTGGGGATTTGTTTACTTGTGCCCAAGAGTGGAGAAAATAACCTGTGCGATTGCACAACTCTGGCTCCATGGTTCCTCAGAAATGTTCCATGTGAGATATAAACATCTTTATCCTCGACAAGTCATGTTCGTTCCAAGAAACCCGTCTTTGTTCTTAATTGGGCATTTGTTTCTGGAAACAGCTTACCGTACATTCAATTCCAAAGTTATCAGAAACCTACACTCTTATCTCACAAATTTAGAGGTATGGTAGATCATCTCCAAAGATGGCCACCAGCAATTGCTCTCATCCTCTGTGCACGTGCTACTTCCAATAAGGTCTATTTTTTTCCTCAGTGTGGGCTGAACTTGTGACTTGTTTTGACTAATAGGATGTTATGGAAGTGATATTTTGGTAGCTTCCACTTTTGTTCTTGAAAATGATGTTTTCAAAAGAGAAACTTGGGCTAAATTACTGAATGGTGAGAGACGATGCACAGGAGAACCAAGGTGCTTTGTCACACACAACTAAAAGCCCAGACTTGTGTCTCTTGAAGGTTTCAACCCCGCCAGACTCCCAGCTGAATGCACCCTCATGAGTGGCCCTTGCTGATACCACATGACACTAAAGACATCTAGCTGAGCCCTGTTAACCCAGAGAATTGTGAGAATACTGTTTTAACCACACGTTTTGGAATGGTTTGATACATGGCAATCGAGAAGTGAAACAAGGGGACTTTGGAAACTGAAGGGCTGGAATTCAGTTTGCCCTGTAGGTTGATTGGAAGCCAGATGTGCCTAGAGGAAGCCGGCTACCACCTTGTGCAATTCCAAGGGACACTGTTTATATTCTGTGTAAATGGCAGCCTCAGACAGTTCACCTCGTTTGGTTATTTATCGTGTCAGCTGTCAGTCAAATTGCTTCTGAGGTAACTGGCTGGCCTTGGAATTCTTAGCCACCTCCTTAAGCGGATCAGGAAAACTGAAGAATATCCTTCTATATGTATGTATGTATGTATGTATTGATTGACTGATTTATGAGACAGGATCTCTTTCTGTCACCCAGGCTGGAGTGTAATGGTACAATCACAGCTCACTGCAGCCTTGCCTTCCCAGGCTCCAGCGATTCTCCCATCTCAACCTCCAGAGTAGTTGAGACCACAGGCATGCACTACCATGCCTGGCTAACTTTTTGTATTTTCAGTAGAGACGAGGTTTCACCATGTTGCCCAGGCTGGTTTCAAGCGGAGCTCAAGCAATCAGCCTGCCTTGGCCTCCCAAAGTGTTGGGATTACAGGCATGAGCCGCTGCGCCCAGCCTTCTTCTGCTGTCAAGATACTGCTCATCACTTGCGTGCTCCAGAATTCATGTGGCTTCTCATTGCTCAGTGGATTAAGTTCATGTTTATCCTGGCTTTCAAGTCTTTCTGTAAGCTGACTCAACCTACACGTAGCTTTCATCATTCCCTTACACATAACCTCAACGTGCAACAGGATTAGTCTATTATTCCCTTTCTTGTATTTACTGAGAAAGCCTCCACTTCAACGTTCCATGAAGTGTGTTCCACTAAATACCAAAGTATAGGCAAAAAGTTCTGTGGTCAAATAAATTTGGAAAACACCGAGTGTTTCCAAAGTTAGTATCAGGCCAGTCATGGTGGCTCACACCTGTAAGCCCAGCACTTTGGGAAGCTGTGGGAGGATCACTTGAGCCCAGGAGTTTGAGACCAGCCTGGGCAACATAGGGAGACCCAATCTCTACAGAAAAATTAGCTGGGCATGGTGGTGTGCACCTGTAGTGCCAGCTACTCGGGAGGCTGAGGTAGGAGGATCACCTGAGCCCAGGAAGTCAAGGCTGTGGTCAGCTGAGATCCCACCAGTGTGCTCCAGCGTGGGTGACAGAGCAAGACCCTGTCTCAAAAAATAAAAAAATAAAATACCAGTATGTTTCTAGACTTCAGGATTTCCCAAAACCTTCAGTAGGCTAATGGGCGTTGGGGTTTTCCAAGAAGATACAGGATATAACATTTCCTAAAATGATTTGATCTGGAAGGAGCCTCTTGGACTGGTGTCCTGGGGTAGGGCTTCTGGAAATGTTTCCCATCCAAATAGGCCCCTAATTCTGCCTGAGACTTGTCTGAACTATCATGACATAGACCAAGTGTGGGGGTTGATGCATGTGAAGTCAAGCCACCATAGCCCAAATCCTGTCATTTCCTTTGTAACTTCAAGCAAGTGGCTTATCCCACATTGGCAGAATGGGGATAAAATTGTGGAAAATTCGCTTGCAGTACCTGCCATATATTCATTCATGTAGTCAGTAAACAAGTTCTGTTGTGCCCACCGACTAAGGTGGGAGTTAGTTGAGTCTGGGGAACCAGTGGTAACCCCTGTCTGAAAAAGGGCCTTTATCCTGGGAGCTGAAAGATGAATTAGTGGGGTGGGGGCAATATGGAATAGAGGGACTGGGGCAGTGTCCAGATCCCAGAGCAGGCCAGCATTTGGTGTGTGTGTCTGAGAGAGTCTGGTGATGATTGTGACAACCCAGAGGAGAGGGACTAGAGAGCACAGGGCCCTGGAGGTTTCTGCAAGAATGTCAAGTGTATGCTAGGACACCGTTGGACTGTGGCCAACAAGGGATGGACTCGATCCTATTTCTCATTTTAAAAAGTCACGCTCCAGTGGACAAAGGCTGGGGGTAGCTGGCTGGCTTGAGGGTGGAAAGCAAGGAGGTCTGCCAGGAGGCTGCTGTGCCCTCCAAGACGGGAGGAAGGTGGCTGCTACCAACAGTGACAAGATAGCAAGAAGTAGGTGGACTCCAGATAGATTGTGGAAGGTTCAACAGCTAGGGGATAATGAGTTAGGTTTGAAGAATTGAGGGGAACTCCCAGGTTTGTAGGTGGGTGCGTGGAGCCGTTTGTAGAGATGGGGAAGATGGTGAGGAGTAGTTTTGGGGCAGTGGATCAGCAGTTCAGTGTATGGACAGGCTGAGTTTGAGAACTGTGGGACGTGTTCAGGAAGTAGCAGCTCTACTGTTTATTTCAGTTACTTGTATTAAGTTTGGCTCCTAGAGACAGACTCCTCGAGGACAGGAAGTGTGAGTCCATCACAATGCTCTCCAGGGACCTCTCGTGCCAAGCACTTTTGTTGGCGCTGAGGACACAAAGATAATAAGATGCGGTCTGTGTTCTTCAGAAACCCTGTTTTGCAGGGGAGGTAAATCATTAATTACAACATCAACATTGTAACATAGAGGAAGTGCTGAATGAAAGAACTTGTCAGGCATTTCGGGAATGCCAAGGAGGGAATGGACGAGTGTTTCCTGGGCTGGAAAACCTTTACAGAGAAATGGATCTTGGCAAAGAATTCATTCACCAGGATAGAAAGAATGGTATGTGCAGAAGCCAGAAGCAGGAGTGAACGTGGTGAGCTTGAGAAAAATAGGACTGGGGAGCAGAAGGCGGGATTTGCATCCGTTAGTACATCTTGGCTCTCCTATAATACCGTGAGGTCTTCAAGGGCAAATTCCAATCTCACACTTCATTCATATCCCCGGTCCCATCTGAGTTCCTAGTGAAATGCTGGCACATAGGTGAAACTGGTGAGTTCACTTTTTTCTTAAATGTCCCTGACTTCAAACACAAGAATGAGGTTTTCAGCCCTCTTTACTGGTGCTTTGAGTTGGGTTATTGCAGTGAACCACCTCTTGGCACCTCACTGGTGGCTGGGTGGGGTGGAGTAGGCACTGGGGATGCCTGGTGGGTTAGGAGGTTAGGAGTGGGTGAGATGGAAAGTACATTAACTGGAAAATTCTGCAGCAGTGTCAGAGTTCCAAGGAGGAGGCTTGCACTGGCCCCCACTCCCATATTCATTGCTGGACATGATAGTAAGGTGTGAAGATGGAGAAAACGGGACCCTGAGGTTTATTCGGGGCTCACAGTGAACATTCAATGTTGGGATAGAGAGTACCTCACTACAGGTTAAGTGCAAGGACTCTTCCTGCCTGTGCTGGCACCATTTGGCCTCCTTGCAGCCGCCTTTGTTGTCACTAAAGCCTTTTCTGGCACCCACAGGAGGGTCCTGCCTTCTGTACCAGCACGCCTGCTTCCCCTCCTTTTTTTTTTTTTTTTTTTTTTTTTTGAGACAGAGTCTTGCTCTGTTGTCCAGGCTGGAGTGCAGTGGCGTGATCTTGGCTCACAATAACCTCTGCTTCCTGGGTTCAAACGATTCTTCTGCCTCAGCCTCCCAAGTAGCTGGAACTACAGGTGCGTGCCACCATGCTGGCTAATTTTTATATATTTAGTAGAGACGGGGTTTCACTAGGTTGGCCAGGCAGGTCTCAAACTCCTGACCTCATGATCTGCCTGCCTCAGCCTCCCAAAGTGCTAGGATTACAGGTGTGAGCCACCATGCCTGGCCCCCCTCGTTTTAAACATAGCCCAGCTCCCAGCTCCCCTCTACCCGCCTGCAAAGAATCAAACACCCAGAAAAACTCCTAACCTGTTTTCTTTTTTTTTTTTTTGGAGAGAGGGACACAGAAGCTAAATGCTTTGTAGCCTAGTAGATTAATGAGCCTCTTTTACTGCTGGACCCACACACAATTCCCAGTGCATTCCTTGGTTGAGCCCCGCCATATTTAGGACCTAGGTTTGCCTCCAGGATTTCATGCTGGCTCATGCGCTGCTTTCTAAGGGGTCTTCTGTGTCCCACCTCCCTATAAACTGCTAGTGCAGGGACAGTTGCCTCCTCAGTCTGGGGCTCCCTGAGGTTGGGAACTGTTTTGCTCTTCTAAGGTGCTCAAGAATGAGACTGTGTCTTAACCATAAAACAGTTAGTTGAAGAGTCACCTTTATACAAGGCAATTGATGAATAACCTGGAACCCTGTTCTCTGAGTCAGGAGACACATGGATTTGAGCCCTTGAGATCATGTCTGTGAGTAGGGAGAGGGTGTTTTCTTTCAGGCTTGGGTTTCAGAGGACCCTAAAGGGAAGAAAGACCCCTTGTTTTCAAATCCCTTCCATTCCAAAATGCCTGCAATACCTTCCCATCCTGTCATAGTCTCTTTCCTGTTTCTGTCATCCTTACCTAGGTCCCAAGTCTGTTTTCCCACCTGGGGGCAGGACCAGGGCTGTTCGGTATTTCTCTGCGATTCTGTGAAAGGGCTCTTGGCCTCTTGACATATCAGTGAGGCCACTGAAAAGTCTACAGAGCCCAGGCCATTCCTGCCCTTTGCTCTGCACGAGAGAAGGAGCCATTCACTGGTCACTCATTTATTGAGTGCCTACTGTGTGCTAAGCACAGGCTACCGAGTGTGCGAGTCTCCTCATTGCTGTGCAGTGAGATGCCAGCTCTGAGTGTGAGGGAGGGCAGAGTCAATGCAGCTTGCAACGGCAAAGACTGCATTTATGCAGGACTGCTGCCTGACACCGAGAGTCCAGGAAGAAACCCAGTGGGTTCAGTGTGGGCCTTGTGTGAAGTGCCAGCGATGAGGACAGGAGACACAGAGAAGAGAGTTGGCCTGCCGGCTTGTCAGCTGTGACATCCAGGTAGGAAGAAGCGGCACAACGTCCTCTGGGAAGTCTGCAGTGGGGGCTTTTACTCTGAACCTTGGGCGTCATCCTCTCTGCCTGGGGAGAGTTTGGTATATGAACCATGGTTAGTGGGGGGGTCTTGTCTGGCTCCTCCACCCTTGGAAGTCTTCCCTAGTCACATTGAAGGCCTTCATCTTCCTAACTCCTCTCTCCTGTCTGGAGATATCTAGGGCAATGGAATTGCAGGCTCATCTGTCATATCTTCCATTATTCAGTTGCTAATGCCTCCAGAGCATGGATGGAGCCCACCCTCAGTTATCCTCTTTAAAGTTGGGGAAGGCTATCCAAGAGTCCTGGGAACATGGCAGCTGACATGAACTAGGAAGCAGGAGACACAGTTTAGTCCTGGCTCTGTTATCAGCTCACTGTGTGACTTTGGGCCAGTAGCTTCCCATCTCTGAAGAATGATGACTGACTCCTAATATTCCTGCCCACACCATGCATGGAGGAACGTTCATCTCTATTTGTTATCGAGGTGACTTCCACGGCTCTTGAATGAGTCGAGCAGGTGTTCTACCAGGGGTGCTGGGGAGGGGAGGGGTCCAGAAGTCTGCAGCTCCAGTGGAAGAGGTTAGGCACTAGGGAAGGCAGACTGGAGCTCAATATCTGTGACCTGCTGGGGCGCCCACTGCCTGTCCTCTTGTGCCCACTCACTTGAGCCGTGACCTTTCCCCAACCTGATTGATTTACCTGCTTTCATGCCTGGTCCCCTGGAACTATTTGGGGCTGTGGCCTCTGCTAGAAGGTGTGAGCTGATAACTGCTTATGGTGTTATTCCTCCCAGAGTGATCTGCACTTACAGTTGTTGAAGGCAGAAAATCTCTGAAGACTAAAGGCATGACCTTCTAATGATCAATGATTAGTATAACAATCAGTGATTAGAGCTTTGCAAACAGTGAGGGAATAGGGGATGTTCCAAGGTCTGGAAAACTAGGCATGGTTTCAGCTGGCCCTGAGGGGCAGGGGTGGGGGCAGGGCAGAGTGTGCCTGGGTGTGTCATGGGCGGGGAGGGTGCAGCTTCTGAGCCACAGCGATTTCAGTCTTGGATCATCAAAAAGACCACCTCCTTGCACTTGACTGCCTCCCCTGGGGGCCTCCCCATGATGGCTTGTGGGGAGCCTGTCTTGTCTGGCTGCCCAACCCCCACCTTGGAAACTGGCAGCAAAGTGTATGGCCATTTTCCCATGATGCCCTTGCAACCACCAGCAGCCCTCCTTTACCTTCTGTGGACAGACTTCTCTTGCCCAGGAGGCCCTGGAACGTGTGTTCCACCTGATACGCTGGCGGTGGGAGAGAGAAGTGGTAGAGAAGAGAGAGGCAGCAGAGGTGGACTGTCTTGGGAACCAGGTAATGGCAGGGCCAGGGCCAGGGCTGGGGCCTTGCAGATGCAGTCATTTCTCCGTCATCCCGAGAGGTGAGGAAACACCATGGACTGATTGATTTATTGACTGGTTCATTCACTGATTCCTTCCTTCCCCTCCTCCATTCTCCTCTGCTCTCCCTTCACAGACACCTAGGGGTGCTTCTAACAGGCAGAAACTGCTGGGAACTGGCGATACAGAGGTGACAGCAGACCTGATGCCTGCCTGTTGGGGGGCCTCCAGTCTGGGGACACCAGCCGGCCATGTGACCTAGCAAGACAGTGTAATGCAGTGTGCCAGGAACAGGGTCGCACCAGGCAATGGCGACAAGCTCTGTCTGTGTAGGGCAGGCGGTCAGGGAAGGAGAGCTGATTAGGATGGGGCTGGGAGTCAGGTCAGTGAGGCAGGCCTGAAGGATGCGGTGAATCACGTTAGGGGACTGGACTTGGTCCTGAGAGCACTGAGGGAGTGGAGGGTACAGGTTGGTTTCTTTTTTTTGTTTTTTGAGACAGAGTCTTGCTCTTGCTGCCCAGGCTGGAATGCAGTGGCACGATCTTGGCTAACTGCAACCTCCGCCTCCTGGGTTCAAGCAATTCTCCTGTCTCAGCCTCCCGAGTAGCTGGGATTACAGGCACCCGCCACCACGCCCAGCTAATTTTTATATTTTTCGTAGAGACAGGGTTTCACCACATTGGCCAGGCTGGTCTCGAACTCCTGACCTCAGGTGATCCACCTGCCTCAGTCTCCCAAAATGCTGGGATTACAGGTGTGAGCCACCACACCCACCTGGCTGGTTGGTTTATTTTCTTTTGATTTTGTTTTTCCCTTTTCGCTGAAAGATTTAAGCAGAGTAGTGGCTTCTCAGATTTGTACTTTTTTTTTTTTTTTTTTTTTTTGAGACAGTCTTCCTTTGTCACCCGGGCTGGACTCGACTCACTGCAACTCCTGCCTCCTGGGTTCAAGTGATTCTCCAGCCTCAGCTTCCGAAGTAGCTGGGACCACAGGCACCTGCCACTACACCGGGCTAATGTTTGCATTTTTAGTTGTAGTTTGTATTTTTAGTCGCCATGTTGGCCAGGCTGATCTCGAACTCCTGACCTCAAGTGATCTGGCTGCCTTGGCCTCCCAAAGTGCTGTAATTACAAGCGTGAGCCACTGCCTGGCCCAGATATGCACTTTTAAGATCATCTGGGTGCCAGGGTTTGAAGGTTTAAGCACTTCTTATCTCTAGTGGTTGACTTTTTTTTTTTCCCTCTAATTCCAGGCTTTAGACCTAAAGTAATTTTGAAACGCTGGTAGAACTAGATCCATCATTGTCTGTTCCTATCCCTGCAGCCACTCCTTAGGACCACCCCTCTAAGGAAACAACCAGAAAGCCTAGCATGGACAAACCATACTGGCCCCACCTCTGCACAGCAATGCCAGCCTGGCCTGCCTCTGGCCAGAGCATCTCCCCTCACCCACCTGGTTTGTTTGTGCTGAGGACAACTCAACCCTCTCCAGGGGCATGTTGAGGGCAGGTTTGGGCAATACTTACCTTTTTTTCTCCTTGGCTGGATCAGAGGTCTTCCTAGGGGAAGGAGAAAGAAGGAATGAGGACTGCAGACTGCACTGCTTCCCTCGGGGCTTGGTGAGGTGGGAAAGGCTCCAGTTCTTTGGGGGTCGGTGCATTGGTGGGTCTTCAGTGGAATTCTAGTCATCCTGGGTTATCCTCTGTGGCAGTAGGAGTGTGCTGGTAGGGGGCAGTGTGGAGTGGCTGGAAGTGTACAGACTTTGGGGTCACTGGCACCTGGTGCCAGCCGGGTGAGCATCCGGGGAAAAGTGCTTAACCTATCTGAGCCTTAGTTTCCCCGCTTGTGATAAGGGGGATATTGCTGTGGAGATTTAATCTCTTTTTTTCCTTTTTGGGACTCTCACTCTGTTGCCCAGGATGGAGTGCAGTGGTGCGATCTGCAAGCTCCGCCTCCCGGGTTCATGCCATTCTTCTGCCTCAGCCTCCTGAGTAGCCGGGACTACAGGCGCCTGCCACCACGCCCAGCCAATTTTTTTGTATTTTTAGTAGAGACGGGGTTTCACCATGTTAGCCAGGATGGTCTCGATCTCCTGACCTCGTGATCCTACCACCTTGGCCTCATAGTAGGTGCTCAAGAAGTATTTCCTCTGACATTCCCATCCTCCATTCCTCATGGGTTTGCTGGATTTGGAAAAGAAGTTTGAAATGGGCCAGGCACGTTGGCTCACACCTGTAATCCCAGCACTTTGGGAAGCTGAGGTGGGTGGATCACGAGGTCAGGAGTTTGAGACCAGCCGGGCCAACATAGTGAAACCCCATCTCTACTAAAAATACAAAAAATTATCCGGGCATGGTGATGGACACCCGTAATCTCAACTACTTGGGAGGCTGAGGCAGGAGAATCGCTTGAACCCAGGAGACGGAGGTTGTAGTGAGCTGAGATCGCGCCATTGCACTCCAGCCTGGGCGACGGTGTGAGACTCTGTCTCAAAAAAAAAGTTTGAAATGGCTCAGTTCAAAACTCATTTTGTGGAAGAGGAAACTAAGGCCAAAAGTGCTTGGTCACAAGTTGGTTTTCTCTATTTTTATATGTGTATTTTTTTTTATTACAAAAGCAGTCCTTGAATACATCCACTATTTTGAAAAGGTTCATACAAGTAAAATTTAAAGTCTCTCTTCCCTTTCTCCCCCTCATCTTCACTTCCTGTCCTTGAAGTAGCCACTTTTTACAATTTGATACGTATCCTTCTAGAACTTTCCCTGTGTATTTGCATATCTGCGTGTATGTCATTTTTTAATAACAAGTAAGCTCCTCTTGAATATTGATCTGTAACATGCTTTTTCCCACTTAACCATGTATCTTGGAGATCTTTCTATATCTTTCCATGGGTCTGCCTCATTATTTTTAATGGCCACAGGGGTTAAGGATATGCCTAATATATTTTGACCATTTCCTGATTGATGGTGTTTATGTTATTTCCGAATTCTTGCTATTACAAGCATATTGGCAGTGAACACCCTCAGGGCTCATGTAGCAACAGCATATCTACCTGAGAAGCGAGACCCTGGGTCAGAAAGGTAAGCACATTTCCAACTTGCCTGGATATTGCCAACGTGTCCTCCAGATAGACAGTGTAAAAGTGCCAGTTTTTTCACACCCAGCCAACATGGAGCATTACCACTTAAAAAATATAATGTTGACAATAAGAAAAGAGAAAACTGCTCTATGTGCAGAGTATTTTCTCCTGGTCCCCTGAGGACAGGACACCTGAGTTGAAAGTGCCCTCAGGGAACACAGGTTTAAGTTAGTAATTTTGTTTGAGCCAAACAAAATTGACTAGAAATAAGTTAGTAATTTTGTTTGAGCCAAACAAAATTGACTAGAAAGCTTGGTTTGTGGCTTTGCCCACATCCAGACTGGTCTCTAGCTTCACTGCCACTCCCCAGAGTCATCCAGAGCATGGAAGGCACCACCCAGGGTGCAGAGCCTGTGCCCCCACCCTTCAGGTGACCATGCTCCCCATTGTTGGGAACAGCCTGGTTTACACCTGTTGCCTGGTGTAATTATTAACACTCCCCAAAGTGTCCTGGTTGGATGATAATTTCTTTTTTTGAGATGGAGTCTCGCTTTGTCACCCAGGCTGGAGTGCAGTGGTGTGATCTTGACTCACTACAACCTCTGCCTTCCTGGTTCAAACGATTCTACTGCCTCAGCCTCCCGAGTAGCTGGGATTACAGGTGTGTGCCACCATGCCCGGCTAATTTTTGTATATTTTTAATAGAGATGGGGTTTCACCCTGTTGGCCAGGCTGGTCTCGAACTCCTGACCTTAAGTGATTTGTCCACCTCAGCCTCCCAAAGTGCTGGGATTACAGTCATGAGCCACCGCCCCCAGGCCTGGATGATAATTTCTATGGACAGTCTGTGTCATCCTATCTCATGAGTGACCCCTACTGGACTTGAGTACCTGACCCTAGGTCCTGGGCTTTAACTTAGGGCCTCTGCTTGATGTTGCAGAACCCACCCAGAACCCCTGCTTGCTGGGCTCCATTGTCATTGTCACTCACCTCCCACTTGCTTCCCCATCAGCCCAAAGAACTGGCTTGCTTTGCCCGTCTTCACCTCCTGCAGCTGGAGCTGAATGCTGGGGCCAGCGCCTTCCTGAAGAAGCAGAGAGTTAGTGTTAGAGTTGGGAGGTTGTCCAGCAGACGGGGAGGCCAGCCTGGGCAATGACAATCTCAGGAGTGACAGTTGGTGGTCAGCAGACACTCGCTCTGCACTGGCACTGGGGACTTCTGCATATTTTACACAGTACTGCACATCCTCGTAATAATAGCTAACATTACACCTACTATGTTCTGAGTACGTTAATCTAGTAACTAATTTAAACCTCACCAAAACACCATGAAAACAGTACCCCAAGTACTGTTACTGTCATCATTTTACACATGAAAACACCGAGACACAGGTTAAAGAATTGTCCGGCTGGGCGTAGTGGCTCACACCTGTAATCCCAGCACTCTGGGAGGCTGAGACGGGTGGGTCGCTTGAGGTCAGGAGTACGAGACCAGCCTGGCCAACAGGGTGAAACCCCGTCTCTAATAAAAATAAAAAAATTAGCCGAGCGTGGTGGTAGGCACCTGTAATCCCAGCTACTCAGGAGGCTGAGGCGGGAGAATTGCTTGAACCTGGGAGGCAGAGGCTACAGTGAGCCAAGATCCTGCCCCTGCACTCCAGCCTAGGTCACAGAGCGAGACTCCATCTCAAAAAGAAAGAATTGTCCAAGGTCACCCAACTGGGAAGTGAGAGGTGGAACCAGAAGTTGAACTCAGGCTCAAAGGCTGGTCTGAAACACTGCAGTCGTCATCTCATTTAATCTTCACAACCACCATAACTAGCAGGAACTATGATTGCCCCCAGTCCCTGCATTTTACAGATGGAGAAATTGAGATGTAAGGAGGTTAAGTGACTTGTCCAAGGTCACACAGAAAGAGGCCGAGCCAAGATTCAAAGTCTCACTTCACAGTACTGGTTCTGCTCTATCTTGGAAAGTGTCTGCAGCATAGATGAGGAGAGGGCAGCCAGTGAACTTACGATGGGTCCCCAGGAGGCAAGGCAGGACTGCTTCCCTCCTTATCCCCACTCTAACGCCCACTCACCTCTCTTCCCAGGCACTTCCCCCATTGCCCCAGATTTCCCTTGCCTTAGAGCCTGGGCCTCCTGGAAGGAAATGGCATGTGGTCTGGGGGTGGAGGCTGTTACCCTGGGCAAAGACATTTTAATCCTTGAGCTGATGGGGCGGGCGTCCTGAACCAAGAACTGTGGATTGACATTCTCATTCTTCCATTAGCTTCTGTGACCTTGGCCAAAGCCTTCTCCCTCTCTGACCTTAACCTGAACTTCTGAACTGGGGCTTGCTCAGTTCTGCTGAAAGGGAGAGTTGCTTCCTAGTTGAGAGAGTGACAGTGGGTTACATTCATTAGACTGTCTTCACATGTCTGTATCCCCAGTTCCTGGCACTGAGCCTGGCACACATAGGATCCCAGCACACGTGGGACACAGAATGCTGAATGAGGAGTCCTTTCTCTGAGAGTCTGGGAATAGGGAAGAGGCTGGAATCCCCTTTTCCAGGAAAGCTAAAGATAGATAAACAGAGCCCTAGAGTAATGCAAGCTGCCTGCCAGGACGCTGGGAGCTGGGCTTGCATCAGAGGCTCTTTCTTCCATCCCCAGTTTCCCTAGGGGTAGCGCTGGAGCTCCTGGAACCAGCAGGGACCCAGCTAGGGACAATATAAACCCTCTTGCCTCTCACAACTTGTGTTGTCGTACCTTTCAGGATCAGGAACGGATTGTTTTCTTTTTTTCTTTTTTTTCTTTTTTTTTTTTTTTTTGAGACGGAGTCTCACGCTGTCACCCGGGCTGGAGTGCAGTGGCCGGATCTCAGCTCACTGCAAGCTCCACCTCCCAGGTTTGCGCCATTCTCCTGCCTCAGCCTCCCGAGTAGCTGGGACTACAGGCGCCCGCCACCTCGCCCGGCTAGTTTTTTGTATTTTTTAGTAGAGACGGGATTTCACTGTGTTAGCCAGGATGGTCTCGATCTCCTGACCTCATGATCCGCCCGTCTCGGCCTCCCAAAGTGCTGGGATTACAGGCTTGAGCCACCGCGCCCGGCCAGGAACGGATTGTTTTCTAAGCCTTGGACTAATTCGCTCACTTCCCATCTGCTTCCCTCACATCCCACCATGACATCAGTGGCTGGGGCAGCTATCTTAAGCTGGAGTTGCCCAGCCTGGCCAAGAACTGGAAAAGTCTCTTTGGAGATTTGGACCCATTTCTGAAAACCACTTTGCCTTGGTAAGAGGCACCTTCAGGTGCAAGCTGGAGAGAATGGTCACTTATGAATTCCATAGGACTGACCTTTCTCCCCCACTGGGTTTCTGTGCCTGGCGGGGGGCATTCGGAGACATTGGTTCCCATTCACTCTGAAAGGACTCCTACCCCCACCCAGAGCCCTCCATATCCATTTAACCCAAATCCCCAACTCCAGGGATGATTACAGGTTGGGGGAGCCCCGAGAGCAAGGGAGGTAAGTGATGTGATCATGCCCCATTCTTGTCACCTCATTTTTTTTTTTTTTTAAAGACAGGGTCTTGCTCTGTTGCCCAGGTTGGAGTGGAGAGGCACAAGCACGACTCACTGCAGCCTCAACTTCTCGGGCTCCAGTGATCCTCCCACCTCAGTCTTGAGTAGCTGGGGCCACAGACGTGCATCACCATGCCTAGCAAATTTTGTTTATGTTTTGTAGAGATGGGGGTCTTTCCGTGTTGCCCAGGCTGATCTTGAACTCCTGGCCTCCAGCAGTCCTCCTGCCTCAGCCTCCCAAAGTGCTGGGATTACAGGCATGAGACTCCACAGCCAGCCGTCACTTAAATTATGCTTAGCATCCCACAGTGTTCTGTAAGTTCTTCCTGACTTCTAACCCAGTCTCTCCTCCCATATTCCAAGCCCTGTATTTTGGGAAGCAGAGGGATGTGATATTAAAGGAGAGTGAAAGGAGAATAAGGATTAGACCCAGCTGCAGGATGAGGTGCTTTTGGGAGGCGGTCCAGTAGCGCTAGTTGAAGTTTTTAATGTTTCTCATGGGGCTGCATAGATGAGGCCGCATCACCCAGCAAGGCTTCTGTCTCTAGACCAGGTACCCCGATGTTTGGCACTGACTCTGTAAAGCATGGCAACGCTGGAGAAAAGCTTTGGGGGGTCACTTTCCTCCTCCGTTTTGCAGGTGAGGAAACTGATGTCTGGAAGCAGCAGGTGTCAGTGGAGACACTCCTAGCCCTGCTGCCTTCTCACTGCACACACTTCCAGATTCAGACAAACCAGAAAGGAAGCCCACCATGCAGGACTGTCCATGCGGTGGCTTTTCCTGTGGCCCCATTTCTAAGCGCTTCCAAGGACCTCACCATAGTCCAGGACCACAAGCCAAGGCTACCCCAGTGTCCTTACCATCCTGGGAATGGGAGGAGCCAGGCCCAGCTCTGTCCTGTCTGCCCCCCGGAAGCCTTCCCTGAGTGCTGACCTCTTATTTACCCGTCTTTGGCTTGTTGGTCCCTGTCTCTTGTCTGATTATGGAACCCCTGAGGTCAGAATCTTTGCCTCCCCAATCAGATTGTCAGGCAGGAGTTGGGGGCAGATGCGGGGTCATTTCTACATGTGAGACCAAATAGTGGTCCTGTTTAAGTTGATCCCCTTGAAAGAAAATTCTGGAAAAGCTCCTGAGATGCACAGATACACAGAATCAGACCTTGGGCAAAGTGTGTAGTGCTTTTGAAGCTGTGCAACCTTGGACAAAATACTTGACTTCTCTGTGCCTCAGTTTCCTTATCTGTGAAGTGGGGGTGGTCATGTGTCGATACCTTCCCCATGAGGTTGATGGGAGGATTGAGTTAATATAAAGCATTTCAGACAGTGCCAGTTTCTTACACGTACACACACACACACACACTTCGGAGGTCTGCCAGGCCAGGGCTCATAGCCTTGAATCTACCCATGGTAGAGAGACAACCTGCCTTGCAGGCTACCTGCTCTCCCAGCAGCCATGCAGGGGATCTTCTGTCTCTCTACTGCTGATTATCCCCTGCCCTGGTCAGAGCCTCTCCCCAAAGGTACCTCCAAGGCCACAGTTATCCAGGTCTCTGCTTTGGTGCTGAGTTCCACTTCACCATCACCTGCCACAGTGCACACGGACAGCTCCATCAGGAGAAGCAGGATGAGGCAAGGCAGCATGGTGAGCCTGCACTGTCCCGGAACCCTCTGGGAGTCCCTCTCAGCCTGAAGACGCCTCTTGCAGGCTTTGGTTCGCTCTTTGGCTCCTTGAGTGTAGATAGGGGAAACTTCCCCTGTTTTCTGGTCCTTCCAGCTGTTCCTGCTTCTTTCCTTCAGCTTAACTGACCCCCAGGCCAGTTTCTGTGATTCCCCTCCCTCCCTGACTGGACAGGCCAATGATATTAAGGAGCTGCTCAGGAGGAGGGATCAGACCTCCTCACTGCCACCCCCTAACATTTGATTCCAGGGCTTAACACTCTGATGCAACACCTGCCTCACCTATGGCTGTTTCCCTGGTGGCAGGTGCACAGGGGGGCAGTGTGTGGGACCTGGAGCTTGCAGCTTCCAGGCTGGAAACCCTGAGGGGACCTTCTCATCTTAGGAATAAAGGGAGGGGGCCATATGCCTTCTGTCTTCCTAGTGCTCTGCTCCCCTGTGCAGAGAAGCCTCTCCCTGGAAATTAGCAGTGTCCCCTTTCTGTCTCTTCCTGTCTTTGAGCCCCCTCCTCTCCAGCATTCTCCTCCATCAATAGTCCCTGTGTGTGCATAAGAACACATGTCTTGCTCTAAGATAAATAACACAGTGCTTAAAGAAATGAGGCTTCTCACAAATGGGAATTGAGATTTGCCAGAAAAATGGCCGCAGGTTTCAAGCGTCACTGGCTCTGATCTTTCCCCTGTTGTCAAAGTGATCTCTCTAAATCCCTAAACTGACTTGTCTCTCCTGCTCACCACCTTCCAGTGTCTCCCCACTGCCCTCGAGTGAATTCAAGCTCCCTAGTGTGGAGTTCATGGTCCTTCATTTAGTTCTTCCCTCTCGCCTGTCCACCCAGATCCATTCATCCATCTATCCACTCATCGGTCTAGAACAAGGGCTCTGTGGTCACAGAGGCCTGGATTCCAAATAGCTGTGTGACCTTAGGCACATTACTTAACTCTTCTTGAGAATCCTTGTCTGTAAAACAGGATTAATAATAGCACTTGTTTCCAAAGTTTGAGGATGAAATGAGAGAATGCCCTGGAGCACCTAGCACAATGCGTGATGGTCAATATTTACCACCTGCTGACTTTTTTTTTTTTTTTTTCACACTACAATAGTTAATTTTATTTGTTCAAGAGCTCATACTGCAAGCATTAAACCAAGCATAGGCTTTGATTCTGTGAGCCCAAATTCACATATTGAAGAAGATCAAAGCAAACTGCGATCCATGTACACGGATGAAAACTAAAGGCTCAGAGTTAATAACATTGTAGTTTTTAAATTTCTACAGCCTAGAGCCCAGTAGTCACAGGTCTTTTAGGTCCTTCTGGATGTCCCACAGGGTATCTGCACTTTTCTTGAGCTGAGCAACTTCATCATCCTTTAGCTTCTGGTTGATAACGCTGGTTAATCCTTGGGCATTGAGGATACACGGAAGGCTCAGGAAGACTTCATTCTCGATGCCATACATCCCCTTTACCATTGTTGACACAGGATGAATCCTGGATAGATTTTTCAACATGGATTCAATAAGATCAGCCACACTTAATCCAGTAGCCCAGTTGGTATATCCTTTTAGCTTGATGACTTCATAGGCACTTTCAACCACCATCTTATGCACTTCCAATTTTCACTATCATTGTCCGTTCCCATTTCTGGATTCAATTCCTGGAGAGAAACACCTGCCACATTCATGCCACTCCACACAGCCACACTTGAGTCGCCATGTTCCCCCAAAATCCATCCATGGCAGCTGCTGGGATGAATGCCAAGTTTTTCAGCCACAAGGTAGCGAAATCTAGCAGAATCCAGATTACATCCACTTCCAATCACGCGGTGTTTGGATAATCCACTTAGTTTCCAGGTAACATATGTAAGAATGTCCACCGGGTTGGAAACCACAATTATGATGCAATCAGGACTGTACTTGATGATCTGAGGAATAATGAATTTGAAGACATTAACATTTCTCTGCACCAGATTGAGCCGACTCTCCCCTTCTTGCTGATGGACTCCTGCAGTTACCACTACAGTCTTAGAATTGGCAGTCACAGAATAATCTTTATCTGCCATAATTTTAGCGTCTGAAGAAATAAGCTCCCATGCTGCAGCTCCATCATTTCTCCTTTAAGCTTATCTTCCAAAACATCCACAAGAGCAAGTTCATCAGCCAGAGACTTTCCCAGAATGCTGATAGCACATGCCATACCAGCTTGTCCAGCACCCACTACAGTGATCTTATTGTTTGGGACTGTTGCCTCTTCTTCCGTAACTGGTGCAATGAGTTTTTCCTTAAGAGTTGCCATTTTGCACAGGAGAGAGAAGGCTCTGGAGACCTCTGTAACAGCTTTGCAGAGAAGACAATGTCAGCTGCCTTTTTTTTTTTTTTTTTTTTTGAGATGGAGTCTGGCTCTGTTGCCCAGACTGGAGTGGAGTGGTGCGATCTCGGCTCACTGCAACCTCTGCCTCCTGGGTTCAAGCAGTCCTCCTGCCTCAGTCCCTGAGTAGCTGGGATTACAGGCCCCCGCCACCATGCCCGGTTAATTTTTGTATTTTAGTAGAGACAGGGTTTCATCATGTTGGTCAGACTGGTCTTGAACTCACGACCTCAAGTGATCTGCCTGCCTCGGCCTCCCAAAGTGCTGGGATTACAGGCATGAGCACCCGGCTTGACCATTATTACTGTTATCGGCATTGGGTGAGGCAGTAGGCTGTAGAAGATGAGTAAGACACTGATCCTATAGCATCTCACAGTTCAGGCACGGAGACCTCTGGTTGGCAGATAAGCTACGTTTGGTTTGACAGGTGCCAGCATAGCGGTGGGAGCAAGGGAAAGGCACGTCCTCCTTCCCAGTGAACCACTACCCCTGTCCCAGGACAGGCTGTTGCCTCTGCTGGACCTCCCTTTCCCCCTGGTGAACTCCCATTCATTCTTAAACATCCAGCTTGATATTCACCTCTTACAAAGAATTCTCTCTCTATTCCTGTCTCCAGCAAGAAGTAGTTGGCTCCTTTTGCCAACATCTCCCACTTGGATCTCTATGGCTTCCCACAGGCCGCTGTGCGAGGTTGTGCAGGTTGTGTCCTGCACAAGGCTGGCTGCGGAGGGGACCAGTGGAGGTGAAGGCAACCCCAGCTCTGCTCACTGATGGCTCTGGTGCTGCTCAGGGTGTTCACCCCTGGAAGAAACAGCTTGGCTCCAGTTCTCCCAAAAGGGACAGCTGGGCTGAGGGCATCTCTGCTAGTCAGCCATATGGTTGTTGACTATGCCACCAGCTCTCTGAGAGTAGGGCTGTGATAGATGTGTGCTTGGCATACAGTAGGTCCTTAATAAACCTGCACTCACCCTGAATCCAGGCCAGCCAAGTGAGAGATGAATAAGAGTAAGTATGGAGTGTTTGAGGGAGGACTCCCCCTCTACTCCAACCCACTTTCAGGAATCTTTTTCGTGGGTTCTAAACTGGAAGGCTTCAGAATCCCCGAATTTGCTAAAATGCAGCTTCCCCAGCTTAACCTAATTCCCAGGCAGCCAGTCCTGGCTTGTGGGTTGCTCTCAACTCTGTAGGGAGGCAGTCCCCCAGCCTCTCCCTGAACACCCCCAAGCGCAGGATGCCTAAAGCCTCACACTCCATTTGGGGTTTTCCGTTACCATTAACAGGTTCTTCCTTAGAGGAAACAAAATGTTGCTTTTCATCCCCTTGGTTTCACAGGTGTGGAAACAGGCAGACCGGGCTTGCTGTAGGATACACTGAGAATTCATTGGCAAACTAACTTGGACCCCCCAGCCAGCTCCTTCCCACCTTCCAGTGGGGCCTTACCCACAGGGCTTCAGGCAGAATCACAGCCTGGGCCTCTGGACAGGGGAGATGGCCTTGCATTCTCCCGATGCAGATGGGATGACCTTAGTCTCTACTGAGTGTCTGAGCCTCAGTTTCTCCATTTGCAAATTGAAGCTGGTCCTTGTAGTGTGTAGTAAAGATTTCATGAATTCCTGCCGGTAAAACGTTCAGCAGAGTCCCTGGCACACAGCACGCGCGCAGTTAACCCTAACTTAATTGCTGTGGTGGTGGTGATGATGATGATGATTTTATTCCTTCGAAGGAGCGCTGGTCTCCTGGCCCCCTCTCCTGCTCCCGACCTCAACCAGCGCCAGAGCCATCCTGCGTGATCGTGATCCCGACCTCACCAGCGCCAGAGCCGTCCTGCATGAGGCAGGATGTGGTGGGCGCACAGCAGAGACGAGGCGGGGGGCACGGCAGAAAGGAGAGGGCAACGGGAAAAAAGCAGAGAAAACCCAAAAGGTCCGGAAGGCTGGGAGGGAGGCAGGGCACAGGCTGGAAACCGCGACTATTTGCAGCGTCGCCCTTGGGCTGCGGTCAGGCTGGCGCTGGCAGTCCTGGCGGCCGAGCCCGCCGCCCCGCCCGGTGCCCTCGGCCACCCGGGCACGGCCCTGGCCGGTGCGTCCAGCTCCTCCCGGTCCCCGCGGCCCCGGCGGCGGGTGGGCTGCAGCGCTGCCGCCAGAGGAGGGACCCGGCCGATCTGGGGTGGGCTGGGGCAGGGCCAAGCGCAAGTCGGGGTGCGACCCCCAGGTGAGCCGGGCTGGTGGCAGCGTGCGACCCCTGGCGGGGTACGTCGCGGCGGGCGGTGGCGCCCCCGCGGGAGCCGGGCCGGGGGCGGGTTGCAGCCGCGGCGAGGCTCCCCGGGCGCCGGGTGGGCGCAGGATTGCTAAACGCTGCGGTTTGGCTAAGATTGCGGAGCCGAGAAGAGAAAGGGCGCAGGAGGGAGGGATTTAAAACAAGACCAAAGGGGGGGAAAAAAGCAGAGGGAGAACAGAGAAGAGGGAAATGCGAGATGAGGGCGGATGCGGGCAGGAAGCTGACGTTTCCTGAACGCCTCCTCCAGCTAAAGTCGGTGCGTAATGAGCCCATTTTACAGGCTGGCGCTGGGAGAAGGCCGCCAACCACTAAGGGGCAGAGGCGGGA